GCTGTCATATTTGCCAAGCGCTTCACATCGAATCGCAATCAGGTTGGATGGATGGATGGATAGAACACGACTATATATATATATACACACCCGCATCGAGTGGCGGGGGCGGACGCCAAACGTTGATTAATTTCTCGTTTTTACGCCATTTTCTATTTGTCTTGTGCGGTAATTACTACAAGTCCTTGGCGGAGGATGGATGGATGCCTAGCTATCCAGATAGCCAGCCAACTTCCTGCCGCGTGTCCAAGATAAACACGGAATTCCCGAGAAACCGAGTCCGGCGGTCCTGTTCCCATTCCGTTCCGCTCCGATCCGCCGGTCGGTCAAACGGACGGACAAACGGACGGACGGACGGACTGCTTCCGGTAATTGAATCAAATGAAGCAGCATTAGTATTAGCTTCTTATGGGCGGTATCGTTCGGAAGACGCTTCCTCTGGCATAACTCTGTTTATTTTTGTAAATTAATTTTTAATTTAATGTACGTGTGGTGGGCGACGCGCTAGTTTCACGCCACGTTGACTGGAGCGACAGGAAGTGGGCGTGGCTGAGGACCTTTTCGCCCACAGCCCACAACCCACCAAAGGCAAACAGCGAAAGCAAAACAAAACAAAAGTGGAAAGCCAAACACGAATGGCCATTAAAAGTTGAAGTTTGTATTCTCTAACGGGAATATTGTTCTAATGTTTAAAAACTATATATATATCTATGATTAGATAAGATAAAGGCAAGAAAATAGGAAACAGATAAATGAATATATAAAGTAGTATAAAGTTGTATTTTATTATTTTAAAATGTTTTTGTGCTCTTCTTGGTTCTTGTTTATTATTATTATATCATCTATATTAACCTTTCTTAAAATGTATTATATGTTGAATTAATATTTGGGAAGTTACATCTTTAAGTTCCAATTTCCCTTTCTTAAAATAGTTTTAAATCCCTGCCCAAATCACTTAACCAACCGCAGATACCCTTAATTTCGAAACGGACCACCAAAGCACCCAAAAAATCTGCCCTGGACCAGTAGATGAAGTAAATAGTCCCTGGCCCCACAGCTCCACAGTGAAATATAAAGTAGGAAAAGCAGTTTTCAGCTGGTCAGCAGGCTGTCGAAAAATAAAAGTAAAACAAAATGGGACGGCGTTGAAGGGGCGAGGTTGACTACGGTATAAAGCGAAAAGACGACGAAATACTTTTTCAAGATAAACGGAAACAAGCCAAGATGGAATTAATTTTCCGCTTTGAACAAACAAGCGGATGTAAATAAAAAAAAGCAAAAAAAAAAAAAATGAACCAGGAACCAGCAGCAACCTAGAGAATCCAGCGAAGATGTCGACGTCAAAGTCAAAGGAGTGGGGGAAAAGTAGGTTTCGGGGGGAGGAGGGATTGGGGCTGGGGGCCCAAAGGAAGTAGACGCAGCTGAGGCCGAGGGAAGTTTTGGGGGGAAACCGCCTAAGAACAGGAGCTGCGATGTCTGCCAAGTTTAGCAAGTTCCGTCTGGACACTCGCTGCTGGCCCAACGTTATGTGCTGTTAATGACTGTACAGAACTTTAATTGCAAGACAGCCTACACCGAAAAATCAAATAGCACTGTTTATTCAATTCATTTAAAATTTATAATTTAATTAACAATAAAATATTATATGCATTTGAAACAATTAATCAATTCAATTTAATTTTTAATTAGTTCTTATAGAATTGTTTGCTATCAAACAAATTAAATTTAATGAATACTATTCAGAATTGATTAGTAATATTTTTCACAGTGCACATAGAAAACTGTGGGGAAAAACAGGAATACCGTGTGGGGTCAGGGCCGGCGGAAGGTGTATACCGGGTGTTGAGCACTCCACACGCCAAATCTTAGCGGGTGTGGAATTCAACACCCCAAAATGCTTGACTTGTAGAAAAAAAATTTATTTACATCCATTATTATCAGTTGAATGTATGATTCAAAACTGTTTCTACGGCCCTGCATATAGAGTATATCGAAAAAAACGAAGAGAAATCCCGCCTTTACCACGGCCCAATTAAATCAGTTTCTATTTAAATAGATAGATAGTAACTCTCCCAAATACTTCCCAAGTTAAGCATTTTCCAACTTAATGTAACAACTACTTAAATAATTATGAGATTATCATAAATAAATCTTTTCAGATTGGTACTTACTCAGTTAGCTCCTTGATCTGCACTGCAATCTTTCGTCTTCTTGAAATAAGATAATCACCGCAACCACTTTATTCGCAACATTAACACTTAACACTTTACCCTGAAATTAAATAAGAAAAAAAATAATAGTAAATAATTTGTTACAAATAATAATAGTTAGAATTATTTTGTTAGTAAAAAAGGTATTTACCTCTTTGGGTTTTTTATTCACTGCATCTTGAAGTTCACTCCAAGCAGAAAGGAATAGTCATCACTGTAATGAAAAGAAGCATTCCAAAATATTAGTTAAATTATTTTATACAAATCGGTTGTTTAAAAAATACATACCCCAATGAGGTGATGCACTGCATCCTGGAGTGGAGTTCAATAGAAGATCACGCCATTCATAATTGATCCTGCAGCCTGTTGTCCAGTCCATTTATGTGGTGTCAGCATACTATATATTTCCGGTAACCGCATTCTTACAACTATTACTATATATATCCTATATATATTTTATTATATGTCCCTACTTGTTTACAATTAATAATTGTGTTTGATTTTCATGTACTTCAAGTTCAATATTTGATAAAATTTACCTTTCAAATTTCTTTCATGTTCTTGAAAACTTTCAGATCTTTGTCTGTTTCTTTTAGTTTCTTTGTTAAAATATTTATGATTTTTTTTTAAATATATAACTTAATTATTTATTGTCTAAAGGATGTACTCACTGCGTAATAACCTTGGTGCAGTGCATCCTGATGTCGAACTTCAAGTTACAAGTTGGATGGTGTCACCAATTATTTTCTGCAATCAGCCAAATAAACAACCAAAAACCTGAAAAAAAAATATAAAAAAAAATTTAATTAATTAACTGAATTTTTTTTACAAAAGCCACGTCATCACATAATTAAAAATAACTGCAATTCACCTTTCCAGGTTTGGATGCCCTGCATCCTGGAGTCCACTACATGCAGGAAGGGATCGGGCACCTTTAAGTTCATGCCAAGTCAGGTCATGATGCAGTGCATCCTAGGAGGAGTCGACCCATGGTGCACTGCATCCGGGAGTGGACTCCAGTAGGTGGAGTCGACCCAAGATGCACTGCATCCGGGAGTGGACTCCAGTAGGAGGACCCATGGTGCACTGCATCCGGGAGTGGACTCCAGTAGGAGGAGTCGACCCATGATGCACTGCATCCGGGAGTGGACTCCAGTAGGAGGAGTTGCCCAGATACTCTCTCCCGCTCTGGAACCACGTCACTAACACACACGCACACACACACACTTCCAGAGACCGGAAAAAGTTTCTTATAGAAACTGCCGGTCATCCCGGAGAACTGAGAAATTGGTCAAAATCAAGGGGTATCCCACTACGAATCAGCCAGAACCACTTGGGAATTATAGGTGCAAGAAAACGAAAAAAATAATTAATTATCATTGTCGCTGACGTGGCCATATTAATTTAATTAACATTTAGTTAACATTACATTTACATTATATTAAATTAACATTATTTTAACATTAAATTAACATTATATTAATATTAAATGGATTTTAATTAACATTTTACATTTAAAATAATTTTTTTTACCTGTTGCATTTTGATTGATTGGTGTTGTTGTTTTATTAAAATAGCATTTAAAAAATATATTCTGTTCAATTCAGGATCCATCATATATCGTGCCACAAACAACTTCATTTGCGACCAGAAAAACGAACAAGGAGGCGCCAATGTTTATGTCAACAGTGTTTCCCTCATCATGATTTGGAATGATTTTGAAACAAAAGGAGCGGGGGGGGATATTGAAAATTTGTGAGGTCATCACCCCACTCAAAACTGTTTCTCCGACCCTGTGTGGGGTAAAGGGAGGTGGTAGCTCCCAGATGGGCGTGCGGTATTGCTACACACACGCATATTGACAAATTGCAATTTAAATAGACAGCAATAAGTTAAACAGACGCACACACTCAACGCATTAACATCGGGTGGATAATGGGGGGAATTCGGGGGGAGGCAGCCAAAAACACGCCACGTCTAATTAGTTTAGCACGGCGCTCGGGGAGGTCAAGGGGCATTAGATGGCCGAGATGCTAGAGATGAGCAATAATTAGGCAAAAAGCTAATGCGATAAGGGAATTACAACGCATTTAGCCACGAAAACTGGCAAAAACATGCGACATAAATGGCTAAGTAATGTCTCAAATAAATCATAACTTATGTTACAGTTTGTCAAATAAATAGTTAATGTAACCCAAGTATTTGGTTAGCAAAATTAGAAAATTAATCTTAAATAGTTAAAACGTTTTTAAATATTATTAACTTTTTCTGTTTCTTTAAGATTTATGTAGGACACAGTTTAATAGTTTATTTATTAATTTGATTATACTTTTTGTTTTACTAAAGATATCTTAAGCATCCCCTAATAACTGCTGGAGATCTTATATCATCTCTGTTTTCCTCTTCCCGCATTGTACCCCGGCCAAAACCCGATAATACATCTAACCGACTAAATACATTAAGGCATTTTTACGGCTGGGCCGCCATTCCCATTCGTATTCCCCACAAAAGTTGCCATTTTGTCGAACTAGGATATCTGAATCAGAGATGCTTTTCACTGTAGTTGTTGTTGTGTTTTGGGCGGTAAATATTGATGAAAACATTTACGCACACACGCACACAATTAAACACGTTTACACAAGCTGATAAACAGCAAACACACGCACACACACACTTAAATAGAGATGAATAGAGGGTAGGTAGTAATTGATGAGTTTCCGTTTATGGTAACATCAATCATACGCACTGTATGCCAACGCTTTGCAACCAGGTTAAACAAATAACTCTATATCGTATCTCCACGTCTGTCTTTATTTGCCAATCCATTGTCAAAACCTATCTAAGACTATATACATATATACTCTTTACAAACAAATCTCAAGACTCGGAATTAGTAATGGAAGCTACGGTTCCTCTGTTTTCATTTGCAGTTGCTTTCGTGGCCACCGGTAGAGTCTGCCTCTTGGTCCAGCACAGAATATTCACCCAGATCAGACCGCAAACGCCCATATAGATGACTCGGAATCGAGGAGCCACCAGTGAGAAGTTCAATGCCTGAGCGGGCAGCCAGAAAATACAGGAACGCACAAAAGTCGGCACGAACTTCTCTCGTAGTTCTAGGAAAGTGTCTTCTGATCCTTCCATGATGGACATCCCTTTAGAAAAAGAATTTGATTTAACAAAAACATTTTTAATTCGAAATTACAACTATTGATAAAGAAACGAAGTTATTTATTTTTACCTGCATAAAACACAGTCAATAGATATGGCGTTAATACAAACTGATCCAGTACCAATTTTTTAACTATTACGATTTTGGCAGTTCCAGGAAGAACTCGGTCCAACCATTTGTACCTAAGAAATTTATTTATTAATTGATGTAAAATGAATACTATTTTTACATTTATATATTAAATGCAGAAGCAGGCAAGGTGAACAAAAATTTGTGTAGTACATATACTGATTTGTGGGTTGACCATATTGTGTGTCTGTTAGGTGTATATTATTTTGAGAAAGTGTTAAAAAGTATATATTTTATTGTAAGTGTTCTAGTGTAGATATATCATAGTGTGCTTTTCTGCCGACGTTGTGTTTAAATATCCTTGTGTGTTCTTCTGTATATGTTCGTGATTTTTCTCGGTTGATTTCCTTTATTCTTCATCATTCTAAACTTACATTGCATTTTACTTTTTATGGTCGTGCACATATGCCTCATTTTCTCAGTGCGTAGCGTGCTTTTCTCGATAGCTTTTCCCACTTTTATAATCGCGAAAGAAAAGCTTTGTGCTCTGCTTGCAGTTGGTGCTTCTAAAGAGAAAGTGTGAAGAGAAAGTGAGTGGCGAAGAGACATGCTCTTGACTTTGCGACACGTGCTCATGGAGCTTTTACGAAATTGTAAACAAATTGATAAAAGTCAAAAACAACAACAAAAGCGTACGGCGAAGCAAATTGAGGAAATAAAAAAAGAATGGTTAAATGGCGAGCATGTAAGTGTGAGTAAATTGACTGGCCCACCGATGCGTGAGTGTGCAGATACAAGTGGGGCCAAAATAATAGCACTAATTGTTATGGCAATATAAATAAAAATTTTAATAGAATTTTTACATAAAAAAAATTAATTTTTAGGTGTCTTTTTTTTTATTTTTAAATTAATGTTTATATTTGAAAACCTTAAATTATTTTTATTTAATACTTATTATATTATAATTTTTAAATTGATTTGTAATCCTGAAATTTTCAATTAAAAACTTTAATTATTGCACCAAAGACAAAGAAAGCAGAGCTATTATTTTGACCCCCACTGTTTTTATATACAAACAAAAGTATACATGTACAGATTTATTTATCTGGTGGATGGGGGCACAAACCAAAAGTAAAGTGTTGGGGCATAAACGGCAGTTCCCATCACAGCATATCTTCCTATTGTTGCATAATCGATATCCTTGCGCTCGTCCGCCGGCTACAAGGCACATAAATCTGATTAGAAATCGACCGCTATACCCCTCGGATATATCCCGTCCACATCTCCCCAGGTACTTGATAATATACTACCACTTACGGCGAGCCAGCGTTTGGACACAAATTGTTGCGAGTATTCGGCACCCACATACAAACTCCCATAGATGGCGCTATTCGTCACGAACGGATATCGACGGAATAAAGTGCGGACTCCCGAAATCAACCGAGCCATTATCTTTTTTAACAGAATTAATTATATTTATTTTATAAAAAAATGTACTAATATTATTTTTTGGAAGCGGCCAGCCGCCTGCGTTGACGAAGCTTTACTGAGGAGAAATTCGAAACTATGGCTCAGCTGTTACAAAAGACAATCAGTAAACAACAGAGAGCCGGAACGAAGCACAAAGAGAAATAGGGTTATCTAAGAGAAAATATAAATGTTTAGGGCTTAGCAACAAGCGGAACAGAAATCTCCAGATTTATGGCTTTTGTTGTTTAATAAAAGCTTGAAAATGCATTTTTTATAAGCGTTATCTGAACGGTGTTTATCAGACTACTTAGATAAGATTTGCTTTAAGTACGTCCCTTCTTCTTCTCTGCAGTTATGCTCCTCACCTTGTTGTTTTCTCCGAATTAGCGTTCAGAACTGGATGAAATTGAACCACTTTGTGGTCCGAAATCTGGCCAACAGCGTCCCTATATATTTTTATTTGCCATGACATCAATTGCGTCGAGTAAGTGGTCCTTTATTTTGTTGTTATTGTTATTAAAATAATACCTTTATTGGCTTCTCAACTGGCAGAATTTTCGATGAAAAAACAATCAAAAACCTTATAATAATTAAAGTACCACCATTGTTAAATTTGGCAAGCTAAAACCGACAAAATATTGAAGAAGTAAGCAATTGTCAATAGCTTTAATTAAATATTGTCAAGAAACACTTGATTAAAATGTTTTCAAAGTTTCATAGCTTGACGATGTATAAAAGAGTTCCACATCGTGGGGGATTGCTCAGTAGATATCGCAAAATGTTCATAAATTTCATTAAACTCTGGGCCTTTTTGGGATTACTTTCTTTCGTTGAAGCTTATCTAGTAATACCAATTATTAAAGATGGTAAGCAAACGTAATAAATGGTAAAACAACTTTCCTAAATGTATATTTTAGAGATACCCAACGGCCTTAACATAACTATTCCATTTGTAAAAATCGGGAATGGTTATTATTTTATAGAAACCAAAACAAAAAGAAACTGGTTTGATGCCTCCGAATCTTGTCATCGTATAGCTGCCCATCTATTAGCCTTTGAGACCATTGAGGAATGGGATTTGGTTAACAGGTATCTGTTTAAGGCTGAAAAAAAATATGTGTACTGGACTTCGGGTACTGATTTGGCTCATAAAGGAAAGCACATCTGGTTCTCGACTGGTCAGCCAATAACTTTAAAAATTTTGGGTGTGGGCGAACCCAATAAAGCTGTTGAAACTGAACGTTGTGACGAGTTGGGCTACAATGCAAACGCAACCCATTTTAATGTATTTAATGATCAGGTATGCGAAGAAAAACGACTGTATCTCTGCGAAAAAAGATATCCAAAAAGAGCTTCATTTGTCATATGGTAGATAGTACTTAAAAAATATTTTATATAATAAAAATAAACAACATTTTACAAGTAATTTGTTTTATTTTTAATTATTCATAGTTAAGAACTAATTATGTTTTTGATATTTTCAGGAGTTTGTTGTAATTTACTTACAAAATGTTCAACTATTTATATACTTACATTTAGGAGCAACAAATTTTCAAAGATTTTTTGAGGCAAACTTCTTTTACCATTTGCTCCACACACAAACACACTCCTCCAATTGTGTTCCTTTCCTACTGAATGCAAAATTGCCCCAATCAAGTTTAAAATACAAATCCACCGGCAGACCTACCTTAATCAAGGATACATGCAACTTTCTCTCTGTCAGCATAAAAAAAAAAAGAAACGCCGAGGAAAAACAACAAAACTTTAGCCCATAAAAATGCAATAAGTGTATCAAGTCTTGGAAACCCTTTTTGGCTAATGGCAATTTACGCACGACTAACAAACACCAGAGGAAACCTGGAAAAGCGGTTGGGGAAAGTCGGGGTCCTGCAAAACATATGCGAAAGAACAAAATCGGAGGCGGGGAAACGACAACTTTGATTGAGTGTCGGGAAAACGGGAGGCAAAGGTGTTAAAACTGAAACCAATTTAAAAAGTTCTGCGAAACCATATGGAAAGTGTGCCTTAGAGGAAGTAACTTTTCGATAGCTGTGAGTTTACTTGAAAAAAAATACCCTTGAAGTTTAAAAAAAAATGCAGTAAGCAAAGGATATTGCAACTACCTTGTTACTTGTTAAAAAAAAAATCTCTATTAAGCTGAAGATTTCAAATTCATAGTTTGTTCCCTTGTCAATTTGGCCTTTTTTTAAAGTGTAGTCTAAAGTAGGCAGTGATAAACTGACAAGCAACCCGAGCACACCACCCAGAACACACCTGAATATTTTCAGAGCCAGGTGACAAGACAGAGACCCCGACAGCTACACAAACTGGGAAAAGACGAACCAAGGATGAACCTGAGTGCCATTCTGAGGAGTGTGAGCAACGGTCTAGGCTTTGGGTTAGCCACAAAAAAAGCGGATTTGCAGAGACCGCCGTCCACTTCCGATTCGAGTGCCTCTTCAACGATTTCCGACACTCCCCTCTCCAGTTTTAATCCGGTTTCCAGTCTTTTGGTTCCCTCGGAGGACGAAGAGGACCTCACGGCGGCCGAGAATCGCCTGGCCTCGGCTGCTGCAAACCTTAACAAGAACAACAATCCCTATCAGCAGATAATCCAGCAGATCCTGCGACTGGTCAGCGAATTGGAGCACACGATCCGCGAGGATCAGCAGCAGGAATTCAAGCTACGAATGGCCCTCGATCGCCAAACGGAGCGGGTGCAGGAATTGGTTTATTCACTGGACACGGAAAAGAAGCGGAACGGACGGCTGGTGCAGTTGCTCCGTGGAATCGATTCAGCCAGTTCCGAGGACAGCGATCCGGAGGAACGACCACCCAGCGGATCCCATGTGAAGTCCATCGGGGAGTTGTACGATTCCATCAGTCCACTGCTTATGCAACAGCGGTAAGTTAAAGCAATTGTTATATTAAAATATTAAAAAATACATAACAAACACCCTTAAATATCTTTCAGCTACGATGAGCTCTCTGTTTCCCATCGCCAAAGTCGTCGGCAGTTGGCCAAAAAGGAAAAGGCTTTAAAGATCCTTAAATGCGAGACGGAACAACTTCATTCTAAATACGATCAGCTCTTCGATGAATATAGAAATGAACAGCGACGATTTGAGATGCTCTGTGCTCGCTATATCCAGATGCAATTGAAGAAGAAACAGCAAATCTTCAACCTGAAGAATACACTCGGTCACGCCAGTGAGTGCATTTTCCACGCCCAAGCGGCAATCGACGAGTTTTGTCAGCGGGGCAAGTTACCCATTTCCCAGGAAAAACTGCACAACTTCAGCAGAAATTTGGAGTGTTTCATGGACGCCCTGAGAAATTGCTGCTGCCAACGAAAAGTCCACGAAATTCAGCAGAAAAAGCTGCAAAAATCAGAGACGGAAAGTAAAGAAATCTTTGATTTGGTGACCCCAAAAGCCAAGGAATCCTCGTTTGCCAGTAGTCGCACCATTGTTCAGGAATCCTCAAAACAATATCATCGAACTCGACGTCACTTTCATTCAACTCGTTCACTTTAAGTTACTCCTTGGCGTTAGGTTTATTGTGATATTTTTATCCTATAAAAAATTGCTTCATTTAGCAAATGAAAAGTGTAAAAAAAAATCAAAAATATGTTTAGACAAATATATAAAAAAACAAAACCTAATTTTTGGAATTTTATTTATCAAAATGGTTATGCAAAAAATAAATACATTTTGCTTAATTTAACAAATGAAAAGTGTAAAAAAAAATCAAAAATATGTTTAGACAAATATAAAAAAACAAAATCTAATTGTTGGAATTTTATTTATCAAAATGGATATGCAAAAAAATAAATACATTTTTTAAAGGAAAATCAAGATAAAATATTATTTTATTTGTTTTTGAGAGGGGAAACAGACCAAAAATTAAATTTGTTTTGGAAATGAGATATCTGGGATTTGATTGTCAAATTTATTTGCTGCATATAGCTCTAGTATTATAGAAGTAACACTGTGTTTTAGATATCATTGTAAATCATACAAAAGGCAGAAAAAATGTCTACAAAGGGTAGGATCCCATCTATGGGTAAGGAGGGATTTAGGTCTTCCGCGATCAGCGGAGAAAGCCGATCAGAGGGACACTCCAATAGTGACTCCGACGAAGAAATCGAGCCAGGCAACGAGGTAAAGCCAGCGGCAGATGTCACCATTTACAATTTATACAACATGGGTCCGGCCTTCGGCAAGAAGTTTCCATTGCCTTACATTCGCATCATAATATCGCAAGTGGTCCAAGAAAAATTGAGGAACAAGAACTATAATCAAAATGATGCTTTGAAGTGGACTCGCGACGTCGCCGACGAAATAAATCTAAAGCTGAAGGGCCGCGCATCTGCTCCGAGATACAAGCACGTGGTGAACGTAATGCTTTATCAACAGACTGGAGCCGGATGTTTCTACGGAGCACGGGCCATTTGGGATGAACTTTGCGATGACTATGAGAGCTATACCTACGATGGCGGCAGTTTTGTTTGCACCGCTACCGTATTTGGTTGTTATCAATACTAAGTTTTAAAGCAGCAAATAAACATGGAAATTGCATAAGCTTATTTACGTTTACCATTTAAATAAAAACATCAACTCTGGCGATTACAATGTTAATGTTATAATTTTTTTTTGGGGTTTCCCTCCAAACTTTTGAATTTTGGCGCTGCCACTTTTGTGTTAGAAAAATATGGCCACACCAAAAACATACAATCAGCTGGTAGTCGCCTAGTGTGGCAACATCGACACACGCACATGTTGTTTATATTTCAATTTCCTAGATCAATTTCTTTTACGCCGCAAAAAAAAAACATAAATTAATGCTGTCAGGATGAAGGTTAAAATGATCAGTCGCAATCCGGACAATTATGTCCGGGAAACCAAACTGCAGCAGCACAAACGTGAGTGAAAAGAAAAAGCCTTGACCGGTTTTAAATAGCTTATCATTTTCAGTGCCCAGGAACTACGATCCTTCGCTGCATCCCTTAGAGGGTCCTAGGGAATATGTGCGTGCCCTGAATGCCACCAAATTAGACCGGGTGTTTGCCAAACCCTTTGTTGGCAACCTAAGCGGACACCGCGATGGAGTCTCTTGTTTTGGAAAGCATCCCAAGCAACTTTCCAGTTTGGCCACAGGTGCTTATGATGGAGAGGTTCGCATTTGGGATCTGGCCAATAGGATAAGTGCCCGGCACTTCGTGGCTCACGATGGTTACGTAAGGGGTATTTGCTACGCCCGCGAAGGAGACCGTATCTTCACCGTGGGCGATGATAAAACCATCAAGGTTTGGAAGACAGAGGCTCCAGAGATTGGCGAAGATGATGTTCCAGTCAACACAATACTTACTAAATTTGGTCTCCATGGCATTTCGCACAACCGCAAAGATAACAAATTTGCCACCTGCGGCGAGGTGTGTGCCATTTGGGATGAGAAACACAACGATCCTCTGAAGACTCTGAAATGGGGCGTGGACACCCTGCACACTATATCCTACAATCCTGTGGAGACTAGCATCCTGGCCTGCTGTGCAAGTGATCGCAGCATTATACTATACGATCAACGGGAGGCGCAACCCTTGAGAAAAGTCGTTCTCACCATGAAGAGCAACAAGTTGGCTTGGAATCCCATGGAGGCGTTTAATTTCACAGTGGCCAACGAGGACTGCAAGTAAGTTAAAGGGGAGAAGGATAGTCAACGAATTATAGGTATAGATGATACCCTTTACAAAATGACTATTCTGAACCCCAAATTTGTTATTAAGTTCTCAGCTAAACCATATTTTCCACTTCAGTTTGTACACCTTTGACACTCGCAAGCTTCAGACTCCCCTGAAAGTGCACTTCGACCATGTTTCTGCCGTCACCGATGTGGACTACTCGCCCACGGGCAAGGAGTTCGTTTCGGCCAGCTACGACAAGACTGTCCGCATTTACGATGCCCACCACAGCCACTCGCGGGATATTTATCACACCAAACGCATGCAGCACGTGGTCTGTGTGGCCTGGTCCTTGGATAATCGATACATTTTCTCCGGCTCCGACGAGATGAACGTGCGCATGTGGAAGGCCAATGCTTCCGAGAAACTGGGTGTCATTCGTCCGCGTGAACGGGTCAACTTCAATTACCAGGAGGCACTGAAGAAAAAGTATGCCGCACATCCACAGATCAAGCGAATTGCTCGCCATCGCCAGGTGCCACGACACGTGCTCAATGCACAGAAGAAGATGCGCACGGTCAAGGAAAAGGAGCAGGTCAAGGAGGCCAATGTGCGCAAGCACTCCAAGAAGGGCAAGGTGCCCTACGTCAGCGAAAAGAAAAAGCATGTGCTGAAGGAGGAGGTCTAAAGACGTGTCTTTACGACGACTGTAGTGGGATAAGTTTGAATAAAATTGATTTTTGTAAGGCCAATAAGCTTAATCTTTGCCAGTGAAATCGAAATAGAGGTAGGAAACTGTAATTTAAAGGTCTTGATTAGTGTACTTAGAGAGATTACTTTGGAACTATAATGTTATGTTACCTAGGAGAGAAAACTCCGTTGATATCTCTCTGTTACATTGCATGCAATTTTCGAAATATAGTTTGGATCCGATAAGCCATCGCGGCGGCGCGATAACGACAACTTGAATCGGGGGGAGTCGTGTCCATTTCTAGTGCATTTTCGATTATAAAATGTTGCCAGCCCCACCGTTGGAGCTCAGTATTTATTCGTTTGTTGTTACGGCAGCCGCCAGTCGGTCGTTAGTTTTTGTTTTCGTTGTTCATTTGTTTATACTCTCGCGGCACTTCGCCTCTCCCGTTCCCACAAAACTCGTTTGAACCCGCAAAAAGCATGGAGGCACTGGGGGATCTATTGGCGCCTTATAGCGAACTAATCGCCAAGGTAGCCGGCACAATTACTACCCTGCAATTCCTGTCCGGTGTGGTGCTGATGAACGACATCCGAAAAAAGGGTAGCAGCGATGTCTATCCCGTGGGTCCGTTTCTCGGCGGAGTGGTGCTGTAAGTTCTCAATTCGCGTAGAAAGTGTCGCATTAAGTGGTTCCGTAATGCTCCACTGCAGACCCACATCAAACAAAAAAATGAAAAGAAATGAAAAAAAAAAAAACTAAAATGTCAGCGCATCTGTGTGGGAATTGATTAAATTTTTGAACTGTCGCCATGACACTACAGAATCGACTCTCTTCAAGGCCGATACTAAATCGGTTTTGCACTCGATTCAATAAGATAACAATGGAACGGGTTACATCACTTGATGGTCAAAAAAAAATAAAGGAATTCCCCTTCGATCATCCGTGGCCGTTACAATTTGAAATAGTTGGGCTTTCGTTAACCTTGTCGCCGCCGGAATCTTTGGCTTCTTATCAACGCGAGGCGTCGACAAACACGTAGTTCTTATCTGGAGTGTATAATTTTAAAGCTTCGAATTACGAATGCTGATCCAGTATAGTCTGTCAGAACGTGGGATAGCCGCTAATCGTTTATGAGACAGGCGAAAGATAGCCGCCTTGCCCTCTCCACGTGCTCGGAATAAAGGGGTTTTCGGATTTCTAGGGGGTGCAATTCAGTGATGAGAAATATCTCAGCAGTACCTGACCGACACTATAATCTTTCCTTATTATCGTTCTTAACTAAGATTGCATATTATTATCTGTAGATATCTGGTTTTGAGGTAGAAACTTGCATACAAAAATTTAACTTGACATTCAGATGTTGGGTAGTGAGGTTTATGAATGCATATCTTATCAATAACACCAATGTGGATTTGCTTCTTGTCTTTGATAATGATTTCAATGAAAAATTGTTCATTACTCATGGGTAATATTTAGGAGGTTAAACCAAATATATATATATATATATATATAAATTAATTTATTAAACTGATGGTAAAACACTTTATACACACCATCGATCTAAATATTTATTTTTAAAGTCTGAACCCATTAAGCTATTTTTACTTCAAAAAAGGTATACACACATTTCATGCCTTACTTAACATACAAACAAAAAATAAAAAAATAAAATAAAAATTTTATTGAAGAATAAAAACCTATAATATTTTTAGTATGTCAACAACAAATATAGTACCTTTGCCATCACTGATGGTTTCATGGGGGGTGGTTTACGGAAGGTGTTAACTTGGACTGTGTCAAGTTTAAGGACCCACAGACATGCAAGGGAAGCAACAGTTGTATGCTAAATGAATTTCATTCCATACAAGGTGTAGGTCAAGGGCAATTCCGTGGCCAGTTTTGTATTCAATTTCACCCAACACGAATGTATTTCACAATTGTAGTGGGATTTTTGTAGGTTATTTGTCATCCTACGTGTTTAAGTGCTTATCAATAGCTACGTGTACCATAATTTGCAAATCACTATTCCTTTTTATCTATAAACACATGCTACATAAGAACTAATATCAGAATTAACGATAAAGAAACAGGTTTTTCAATAAACCTCTAGAGTAAAATACTCATTTTAATGGTTAGTGAGTGGAGTACTCAAAATGAAAACTTGTTCTATTTCTTTGAACTTTTAGAAAAAGATTTGCTAGAAAAAACTGGTTTGCTCTCTTAGGAATTTAAATAAATTAAACACTATGCTAAACAAAGTTTTTGTATTGGAATTCTGAAAAAGTTTGTCGCAGACCAAATATTTCTGTATCGCATTTTATCTTTATCAAAGAATATATAACAACAAATGTATGCTCAATTTGCCTACCTAATAATTTACTTTTTCTATTTCAGGACAATTCTTAGCTTAAAGCTGGCCAACATCATGAACGATGCTGCCATGATCAATACCAATTTAATTGGTCTGGTCATCAACTTTGTTTTCCTGTTCGGATTTTACTACTACGCTTCAAGCGGAAGCAGGGGAAACATTTGGAAGCAGATCGGATATTCATCGGTCTTCCTATTGGTGGTCATTGCCTATTCCAACTTCGAGGATCCCGCCAAGATCGAGTTCCGTTTGGGAATGTTGATCACTGGCATCCTTGTTTGGTTGGTGGGCTCGCCACTTCTACATCTTCCAAAAATCATTAAGAAGAAGAGCACGGAGGGCATGCCTTTCCCAATCATCCTGTCTGGTAATATGGTGGCCGGTTCCTGGATGTTGTACGCCCTCTCCGTTAAGAACACTGTTATGGTGGTAAGTTTCAAATAAAATTATAAAACAAAAAATGCCTGTGATCAAAGCAATCTTTTCCTAATTAAACACTGATGTTTTTTAACCATAATTTGTTCTTTTTCAGTTTCAAAACCTTTTGCTTTTTGCCCTGAGTGGCATTCAGCTCTCAATGTTCGCTCTTTATCCCAACAAACCGGCTACCAAGAAGCCCAAAGACACCAAGAAGAACAACTAATTTTAATCAATCGCTTTACCTAGAAAAGATGGACAAATAATGGGTTGTTGCAACAACATTACCAAGTAATTCGTAGTTAGGCTCGAGAAATAATCAAATTATTGCTTGAATTTACACTAAATCGCCACACAACAAAACTAAATTTGAGCTAGACAAATTATTTTTCTATATAAGAAATATTTTCTTAGAAAGGAATCCAGCTAACTAAGTTGCTAGATAATCTAGAATTGTTATTATATTGACTATTACTGTATATAACTACTACATACTTGCAATTTTTGACAATAATTCAAATCTTCCAAATGCATACGTATTTATAAAGTCAACAAATATGTAATAATAAAAAACTGTTACAAAATCGACTGAATTATGTATGTCATTAGGGTTTATCATTTAGGCGACTGGCACTGTGGAGTTGTAGTGGGCGCCGAGTTGATAAATGTGGCGGTGGTAGCAAATGACCAGAGGTGATCCACCGAACTCCTCTTGTCCCAGGAGTGTCGGTGCTCCCTCCGCTTGGATGACTTCAATGGGCACTCGAAGGAGCGAGGATATAGCCTTCAGTTCGATGTGGCCTCCCCAGGCGTGAGTTTTGGCTATATCCTGGCAGTACTTTTCGAATTGTTGGTCGTCGAGGAGATCGCCCGTTTCTGGATGGACCATGTAGGAAATAAGCGAGTCTTTGTGGGCGCGCACATAGTTGGCCGTCTCTTCTCTCAATTCCTGAACACTATGACCTGGAATGTAATTGAGATTAATAGGATTCATGGGGTTTAATTTTACTTGGATACCTGGCAGCGCATTTACAATAAGTTGATGCCTGATGGACTGGTACAAACAGTCTCCATCGGATGCTATATTATGGAGGGATAATTGCCGTTGAGCTAACTTCGTTGTGATCTGCTGGAGTTCGATTAACTTGGGGGATGGCTGATTGGCAGCGTTTTGGAGCTCTGTCTTTATCTCTGCCGCACGTTCACGTGCTTCCTTGGCCTTCTTATCCCTTCGTTTTTGAGCCTTGGACACGCGTTGATTGGAGGGCAGCTCATCCTCTTCCTCTTTCTCCTCGTTATCCTCCCCATTTGGCACCGTGTTTTCGGGCTTTTTCGGTGGGTTCTTAACCTCCGCTTCCGCTGGCACATCCTTAGCTTCCGCCGCCTGCAGCTCCACCTTGTGACGCTGCTCCAGTTCTCCTTCTAAGCGGGCCATCTCCTCAAGAAACTCCTTCCGTTTGGTTTTATTATTTTTTGGGGCATTCTTCTTCATGGCCTGCAACTTTGCCTGCAGCTCCTTCCTTTCACGGCGATGCCGGGCGCCAATGTCCTCCAGACTCACATCCTCTAGACGTGATTCTACGTCCCCAATCGTTTCGTCTACGCCGGACATGATGATTTTTCTTAGATATTATTAAAAACTATTTTCGGCAAAAATCTTTAGAGGTGGGTCAACAACACATGTTATTATCGATTCACAGCGATGTAAAATACTATACTATCGATATACATAGCCGTTATAAAATACCATATTTTAAATTAGGGTTTGAAATTTGTATAACTGGTGACTTTAATTGTGTTGTGTGCAATACAACATTGAGAAATAAATCCATCTATAGCTAAGAACTTACCGGTAAAATGACATTTCACAACTATCCACAACAGTATCAATAAAAAAATAACTTGATTTGCAGCAGGCTGAATTTTTATTTATGCTAAACATAAAACGACTATTGTGAGAAACTAAATACATGATTTGCCACCGGCAAGGAATCGGCTCAACCAATTCCTACCTTGGATATTTATAAATCTTAACTATAGTCCACAAAAGTAAAATCCAATTTCTTTTTATATATTTACAATATTTAAAGTTTAACAGCAATTACGAAAATGAGTGGAACCAAAAGGATTGCGAAATTTGATGTCAAATTGAACCTTATCGTTTTGTACAGTTCACAAGAGTGTTGATTTTAAAAAACTGGCAAGCAAACCAGATGGTACATTTCTTACAAGTCTATAACACATTCTCAAGCGCAAATCAGAAATCGCATTATTTACATTGGCCAACGCCGACGACTCCTAATTAACCTGATTTACGCACTAATAAAACAAGAAGAAACTAAACCGTGACTTGCCACAGAACTGGCTGCACCTAACCGCTAATATCCAAGGTGATATTTACTTAGCCACTAACCGAAAACTACGCAGGTGCTTCGTCTCCGTCTACAGATATATCTAGTGTGATTTTGCCTATTTCCAGTCGAACGTACATGTACAAAAGGAAGCACTGGCTAGCTAGGAATTACCAAAAAGAGCAGGCTCTATCTCTTACGCCCCCGAAGATCCCGTCTAGAGGCTCTTGGTAATGTTCTGGAACAGGCGACGGCCCCACCACGATTCCAAGTCGAAGGGTTTGAAGTCCTGCAGCGCTGGGCTTGGTGGCTCCACCCAAACAGTTGCGGTCGAGGATGCGGGCACCGGTGTGTTGGCCATGATGCTCTCCACCGGACTGGTGGCACTGTTGTTGTTGGCATCCGCCACCGGCTTCTCGGCGGGCTTGGCAGATGAGCTCGAGTCGTAGGGATTTTTTGCCACCAACATGTTCCAGGCTAACAAGACAAAAAAACAGGTTTAAATATTTAAAATTTTTTGGAATATAGATTTAGATGTAAGAAAAATCAAATGCCACACTTACAGTCATTTATGTAACGAATAATTTCCTCATGCTGCGGCGTTATCACTTCATCCTCGATCAGTTTTGTCGGCGTTATCCGTTTGGAGGCGAAACTCTGTTGAAAAACCGGACGTGGTATGCTGTTTTGTAAAACAAAATAAAGGTTTATCAGATTTTAATAACAATTCCATTGAATTTTAACGACTTCGCACTTATGCAAACGACACAGATCTTCTCAAACATGTGGACTTCAAAAATAAATCATTTGAAGAAAATAAGGTGGGGGATTTGACAACAAGATCCCCTCCCTCCTTTTTTTTAGGAACGTTAAATGAATTCAGCTTATCGTTTGCGACATTGTTTAACAATTAATACACTAATTTAAGCCGCTTCTAAATAAAATTAAATAAATTGAATCCTTTTTTGCACTGTGCAATTGCAATAGATTACACGATTGCTTCGATATTAATATACATATGTAGGTTGTGCTTAGCACTGACTTTGAATGCTGATAAGGAGATAACTAGCTTGTTATCTTTATACGTGTATATTTTTGGATTTTCCGATATTAATAAACGATTCTCAAAGAAGAACATTGATATTAATTTTGAAAACTAATACTGATAAGCTGTCCTATCTCACTTTCTATGGAAAATTCTATTGATAAGCACTCACCAAAAGACTCTAATCATCTCTTAAAATATGTGACGTAAGGTTGCTGCATATAATTTAGAACAAGATTTTTCCACAAGATACTTGTAGCAGTCATATTAGATAAAACAATCTATTAAATCTTGATTTTCGCAGGATGTTTGTTAATAATATAACACTTGCCACGAATACATATTTATCTATAGGTCCAACAATTAATTAGCAAGGCTTTCGAGAATTAGCCCCTTCAGCTAAGTGTAACCGAGAAGTTCCGTTGAAGTCGTGACGTAACGGACGTGGAAAAGTCAATGCCTCTGGGGCATTTAAATTAAAATGGAGCCGATAACCGACGCCTGACCCACGTGTTCCCTTGGGTCTCCTAGGGAGCCTATATATACGTATATATATTTAATATATACTTTGGGAACAATTAGCATTATAGTGCTACATAGGTCGCCACGGATTCTTGCGATAAAATGTCAGAGATAAGACGAGGGTCTCGAAACAGTCCCCCTTCCTCAACACTTTTCCCGCACTTTCCACATTTTCACCATGTGCTGCCTTGTTTGCATAAGCAGCCAAAAGATTCTTACTTTTTGTGCTCCTCGGGACTGTTCAGATCGAAACTGGCGTTCTTTCGGCCGCTCTCCTTGATGCTTTCGAATTTTTCAAAATTTTGTGCCAGTCCTGCGATAAGAAAAAGATTATTTAACTTAATAAAACCATTTATTTACAGTGGAAAATGCCGGCAAAACAAAAAGTTAACAGAGAGAGAGTGAGCGAACGAGAGCGAGAGAGTGGGGGCGACAAGAGAGAAAAAGAATAAGAGAACTTTTTGTGACATAACAGCTGGGCAAAAGTTTATTCTCTTCAAAAGGGTTTATTGTACCTTTTGCGAATACGGACCATTATTAACCTATTATTATTATTATTTAGCACTCACCGCGACGCGTTTTAGCAACAATTTTGCTGGGTCCCTTGTTGATTGTGTACATGGTGGAGAAATACCAGGGCAATATCTGTATTGTATATTGTCCTTCCTATTTTCGATGTTGTTTTCCTTTCTGGCAATGAAATGTGTTGTTTTTTCTTGGCGACTGCTATGATTTTGTTTTTTTTTCCGCTTTACAATCATATGATTTGTGGCACCCTTCTCCCCGTTGCCCCCTTTTGGTCTGTCATCGTCTTGAACGGTTACACAATACACTAGTTAGCCGTTGCTGGCGAAGATTCCGCGCTCTTCGATTTCTGAACAAGCCGTCTCGTATCAATTGATTTAATTTCGATTTAATTCACCGACAAAACACCGCATTCAATGGCTCCTGGAAAAAGGCGTGTGTTTTATAACGTTCTGTGCGGCGGACGAAGCTCCAATGCAAGAGCCCCATTCAAATCGCCAAACCAAATGTTAAGAGAAACACCAGCTAGGCGTTTTATGTTAACGCGTTTATGCGGCAAAGTACGAGTTGTTCCGAGAATCACCAATTCATTCTGACCAAATTTATATATAGATCCGAATACTTTTTATAAAAAAATATGTTTTTAGCCCTCTATTAAATATCTATGCTTCACAACTGAAAAAATATATTTTATTTTTAAGTAAATCCTCGTGTTCTTCTAGAAGTCTCGATATAAATTAACGCATAAACGTTACCACTGATACACGTGCACGGTCACCATATGATTTCGCCAGTGTGTACACATTCTTCAAAAGTGAAAACTTTTTTACCTGCGCGCGAAATTTTAAAAAATGATTAGATACTACATCTTATCGTAAAATATTTATTATAAACAATCGGGAAACTTATTATGTAGATCATTAAGTATATTTATTTACTTTGTAGAATTAAATCAAAGAATGCGTAAAACAGGATTCATATGGTGTCATTAAGTCTATTTTTGTCTTATTACAATTTCGGACATTATTTTTTATTAATATTTCGTACAATTCTGGAAATCCATTTTTGGTTAAGAGATTTGTCTGTACTGAGTATAATTGACCGTGACTAAATCCTTCTTAAAATCCACTAGACTGCGAATATTTAAGGACGGACTTTATGGCGGCAATCGAACGCCCATTACCCAAAAATTACAAGCTTCTGCTACCTGCACGCGTAATCTCCAACGCATTAAAAAGGGATTAGCGAGAATTTTCCGGGGAAAAAAATTAATTGCGAGCAGGTAGCCTCATAAAGTGACAGATGTCGGGAAGCGGATAAGTAATATTTTCCGCACTGATATTTATGACAGTTCTGAAATTGCACACCCATCAACTGAATATAAAAAGGGTCGGGGGGCAAAAGGAAATCAGTAGCAATCCAGCGCCGTCAAGTTTCACATTATTCTCCTGATCAGCCAAGCAATCATGTCGTCCAGCGAAACCAACCAAGTGCTGCAGCGTCTGAACAGCCTGAAAATTGTGGAAACTCCCAAGGAGCAGCGGGAGTTGGGCGGCCGGGAGTGCTATTCCCTGGACAGCAAGAAGTATGGACTGGTCCCAGCCACCCCCCAGCAGTGGAGGACCCGGAAAGTTCCAAACCGAGCTCAAGAAACGTCGCAAGAACAAACTCAACCGAATTTACACTTACGAGGCCGACAAACATTTCATCAAGGCGCGCAAGTCTTTGAACTTCTAATCACAACACGCCCCGATGTAATCACCTTAGTCATAATAACTTTGATTTCAAATCGAACAACTCAAATATTTTTTTCACGCTCCTATACAATAAAATATATACATACAATTTAAATTACGCGCATTTTACCTGTTAATCGATATGTGGGCAACCAATTTGCTTGTGGTCACACTGTTGCTGGTCTGTCTGGCGGCCCTGGCAAACAGCTGTTCTTGCGGCGAGGCGGCGAATTTGGACTGCGGCTGCACAAAACCTCACTAAAGATCGAATTTAACTAAAAATATTTCACAAATAATTGTAAATATATAAAATATAACATATTCGTTAAGATGACAGACGTTACGACAACCAGCGAGGGAAATTCAAACAGCAGTGAAGCTCTAGCGGAGCAACAGCAACCGACACCAGAATTTTTGCAGAGAAAAATATATTTTCTGGTTGACCAACTACGCAGTTTTCATTCCGAACTTCCAGAGTAAGCCCTTATTCTTTACCTTCTTTTAAGATTTATTAATCTTTTTCACTTATAGAAACCTGCAGACACGCATTTCCTACGATTTACTCACCGAACTCGCAAATTGTGTGCTGAATGAGGGCATTTTTGTAATAGTTAAAGCCCTGATGGAATTGCAACACGAAACAGAAAGACATTTGATTAAAATGCGAATGCAGGTGGAAAACGAGTACGAAATAGAAGTTGCGGAATGGAGGGCAAAAATTAAGGATCCAGAGGAGCTTCATCACATTTTGGGCCTAATGAAAATCAAGCACACCAAGAAACTAATTGAATCGGATAAAAAGATTATTGAAATACTTGATCAGAAGGTAACAACTTTATTCGTTTCCCTAAAAAGATGTATTTTAGATTAAAAAAAAACCATAAAGTACATAATATTTATATTATGACCAAGATAACTTTATCTTCTATTATCTGAAAAAAAAACTGATCTCTTTATTTACACTTTATTGCTTATAAATCAGTATACAGAATTTGATCGATACCCTGTTATACTTAAAGAATGTGTAACTTATTATATTATATTATATTACCACACAGGTAAACGACCAACAATCCACTCTCCAAAAAGCCGGCGTACCCGGTTTTTATGTCACCGAAAATCCGAAGGAGATCAAAATACAAATGTTCCTGTTGGACTTCATTTTGCGACTAAGTCGGCTGAAATACGAGCCCAGCAAATAACAACCAATTATAAATCCAGAACCCACAAAAGACTGCACTTAACTTGTTTAAATTAGAATATTTAAAACCATTAAATTATTAACCCTGATCAAATGTACCAGCTGTATGATCGCCCATTGTGGGTCCAAGAAACCTGTAGCGCTGCGCAGTTTTAATCAGCGAAGAATTGTGAGAGGGAGAAAGAGACGGGGCCCCAGAAGAGCGGGAGAATTGATAAAGATAGCGAGGCTCTCTCTTTTTGCGTAGAAAGCGGAGAGGCGGCACTATAAATTGGAGCGACCGGTCTGCAGATGCATCAGTTCTGCTTTCAATTTTAAAAGCAACACTTTAAAATAAAATAAATAGTGAAAACCATGTCTCTGACTATTACCCCAACTTCTGCGCATCCTGAGCTCAAGGATCTGGTGAGTAGTTAATCTGAAAAATTGTGATTCGTGCCTTATCTTGTGATTAGAATTTTTTTTAATGTCCTGTGAGGCAATCAATGAATTAAAATCAGTTTTTATTTTCAAATGAATTATTAAATTATTTTTCTTAAAATACCTGTTACTCAGTGATAATTTTTTGAAATTTTTTATTTAAAAATGTCAATACAAATTAAATTTTTGATCTGAATTACTTCAATTATAATTAACTCAAGACGATTTAGGTTTCTTGAACTTTAACAAGGTCGCGTGCAAATTGTTGTGTACTCAGTCATAAAAGCCAGTTTCCGCCATCTAATGTTCAGAATAATTAAGCTTGTGTGAACATCAGCACCTTTTTGTTGGCTATGAATTTGATTTGTTTTGGCCAGCTTTGACTCAGTTGCTTCCCAACAGTTGAACAGCACGCAATGTTTTCGCGATTGTTTCGTAATTTCAAGGCAAGTTTTAAAAGCATAAAATAATGTGTTTAAATAGTTAAAAGAGTGTTTATACTAGGGTTTTACCTAGTTATTGGGTGTAGAATTAATAGCGACATCAAACAAACGACTTTTACTTTCCTTTAAACAGTTTTTCCATTGACCTTGATTTTGAAATTGATTTTGCAATTGTGTGTGGGGGAGAGCGAGTCTGTTAAATCAGCTGTTCAACAGCTGCAATTGCAAGGCGAAGAGAGAAATACCAGAGAGAGTTTATCAAGAGAGCGAGCGCCAAGTGCATTGTTTTGCTGACGACATCAGACGCCGAACAAAGCCACCAAAAAACATTTCTTAAAAAACTGAAAAAACCACACAATATAAACTTATTTTTTTATTTATTCGTGAATAAAATGCGCTGTTTGCCGGGATATGGTTACGGACTAACATTTCTGTTTTTGGTGTGCCCTGAAATCATTTAAAAACCTAAAAATATTTAGTCATCCGGTGAATCTGTTACTCATACTCCCCTTTTTCTTCTTCTTCTTTCAGAGCACCGTTCGCAACGAACAAAAGGAACTGAACATTTCGCCGGTTCACAATGTGAACATTCCCAAAGCCACGGCCACTTTTGGTATGGGATGTTTCTGGGGAGCCGAATCCCTATATGGAGCCACTCGTGGGGTCTTGAGAACCACCGTGGGATACGCTGGCGGCAGCTCGGAATTACCAACGTACCGTAAAATGTAAGAGTTCGGATCCAGAGCATTGATCATCCTAACATGTGCATTTGTTTTTTCCTTCGACACCCCCATATGTTGTATTGCATTATCCTTTCGGATCCCTGGTACTAACGCACGAATCTCAACAGGGGCGATCACACGGAGGTTCTGGAAATCGACTATGATCCCACGGTCATTAGCTTCAAGGACCTGTTGGAGCTGTTCTGGAACAACCATGAATACGGACTCACCACGCCCATTAAGAGGCAATACGCCTCCTTGATTTTGTACCATGACGAGGAGCAGAAGCAGATAGCCGAAGCCTCCAAATTGGAGGAACAGGAGCGTCGGGCCCCTGAGATTATCACCACTGAGATTGCTTCGAAGGAGAACTTCTACCCAGCTGAGGCCTACCACCAAAAGTATCGGTTGCAGGGCCACAAGGACCTCGCCACCTCGCTGAATCTCAGCCCCAAACTGCTGCAGACCAGCTATGTGGCCACCAAACTGAATGGCTATCTGGCCGGAGTTGGGGGGCATCGACCAGTTCAGGGCGGAAGTGGAGACCATGGGTCTTACGCCAACCCAACGCCAGTACTGCAATTACCACGTGGAGCAAAACGAGGGTCAGGGTCTCTACTGCTGACATGGTCGAATTTGCATAGACGTTAAGCGTAGATCATACACCTAGGGGGGTAATTTAATCAATAGTTTGCTTGTTCAAAACAGATTGTGTATTATGTAGCCATAGGAAAATATATAAAAGCGTATATTTTATTTTAATAAAAAATATCTCAAACTAAAGTTCACGCACTGAGTTCTTTTTGGTTTAAGGTTGTAAAAGGCTGTTCATAAAGCCTTTTTGGAGTTCGTAAATCCAAAATGTAAAATGTAGTAATCCACATAAAGGCAATGAACTTTTTCTTGGAGAAATTAAAATTTGTTTGCTTGCCTCTGACCGATAAAGAATTCTTCTGCAAATACAGCTGTGCGTCTTTGTACCTCTATTACGTTCAGTACAGTCATTAAACTTGATCCTAGTCAATTACGAAAATTGCAAAAACAACAGATGATGACTGACCGAAAAGTCTGTGGTGATAAACAGCTTGCAAGTCATATTAAGTTCCTGTCCAGGATCCTGTCTTATCAGCGGTAAACACCGCGATAACGAATCCGCTGGGTCATCTGTTTATTCAACTTTAATGAGTTTGCATTGCTGTCAAGATTTGATGAAAAAAACGGTAAAATTGGAATTTGTTTGTGTAATAGGGAAAGCCATAAATGAACTTATATAAGTTGCATGTTTAAATAAATATGATTGTTCCCTGACTAAAATAATCTTTATTAAGAAACAGAAACAAAGCCCTGGCCGTCTAAAATTGGCAAAGCAATAAATAAGTTTTACCCAAGGACAGAAAAGTTACTGACCCCTAAGATTTCCAAAATAGTTTCGCTTTATAGCTATGCAAAGAAAGTACAATTGATAGAAAATTTATAAGCATTTAAATAAAGCGTCTAGTCCATAAATTTTGCAAACTATCAGTAGCTAAATTCTAATCATAATTGCTTGGGTAGTTTACTTCTAATTGGAGTGTCTATAAATTACCGTCGCGAGTGACTAGCACTTATCGATTTAAAAAAACACAAAATGCACCTAGTCATAGGCAAAGATCTGATTACGAGAATGCCCCAAGTGGATTATATATTTAGCTGTTAGATCAGCAATGCAGAATTTATTATTTAAACGAAGCTATTTTTGTTAACTTTATTATTTGCTATAGTATATAATGTTTATAACATATCCGGAACTTGCACCCAAAATTGGTCAAATGGGGAAGACATTTAAATTACTTTTTGAGGTTTTACTTACAACTTGTATCTTTTGGATACAGTTACATAGTATCTACTTGTAAGTAGTTGTATATACTATATTCAATCCTTAATTTTAAAAAAAAATTCCGAAAACCGGATAACATAATAGTTTTGAATATTTCTCGAGTATTTTTTTTTCGCAAAGTTATAGGTACATACTATCAATGTATTTCCTATGTCTTACCCCATCTTAATATAAAGATACAACTATACTATACATCCAGACCTTCAACCTAAAATTTCGACAGTTTTGACCGCTCTTTGTTGTATTAGATTAGTGGGAAGCGCATGGTGTCTCCACTCGCTCTTTCCCCACACCGTTCACTCACATTGTATGCTCTCTTGCCTCTAGCTCTCTCCCCCATTGGCTCCCCTTTTCGCGGCAATGCCCCCTCTCTTTTACTCGCAAGCCGGTTCGCCGCGTGTTTGGCGATAAGTCAATTAAGTCGAGCGAAAATAGCGAAGCACTTTTTGTTTACAGCGAATGAAAAATTTAAAATGTTTTTTGTTAAATCTTTTCTATATGAAAGAGTGCATCAAATGGGCTTAAATCAGGTCAGCTGGTAGCCCTCAAGTGGAAGAATCTGATTCTTCAAAAATCATAAAAATCGAAGTATCCGCTCAGGAGTGAGAAACTTCTGCGGTTTGAATGGTTCCCAATGGGGTTATTAAAAAGATTTTTGGTCAGTACATAGATCAGGCCTCTACCTACCAACTGACCAAATTTGAAGCAAAAATCTTTATAACTATGGCTGTGGGGAATTTTACAAGATTTTCCGTAATACGTTCGCCTCGGAAAGAAGAAGAGCTGCCTTCATCAGACGCGCTATAGACAAAACAACAACAAATACGAATCCGAGAAATACAAATCATCAAAAGTGTTGACGGCGACGAACTAGCTTTCTTTGTATTAGTCGCACGGGTTGATAATAAATAGTTTTCTGGCTGGGAACAAGGGAAATGGGCGGAGGTGAACTAAATAGTATCAATGAGTGGAAAAAAAGAGAATCGTGCGAATGTTGCACAAGATTTTGCGATCCCACAGGCAAAGGGAAAGGTCATTGGGGCTTTCTCTATATATAATCGTAGTGATTTGCAATAATACGCGACAATAAAGGAGGGCAGCATATTTGCAAGTCACTGTTTGGAATTTTTAGTTCGTTCTATCTAAATTAATTGAAAACTGTCATTAAGATTTCACAAATTAAAAGTCATGGTTTCAGATAAGGTGCAAATCAAGATTGTTATGATTTAGAAAGAAAAACTTTTTAGAAATCAAAAAGTTCTATTTTGGGTAATTAAAGATTTGGTAATTAATAAAACATGAAGTATTTTGACCCCAAAATAAGATAACCATGGCAGAATATTTGCATTATTAATTGATGTTCCAACCATTTGCAAATTTTCATCTAAAGTATAGAGGTTTACTCCTTCCGTTCCGTATTTCACTTTTCTGTTAAGGGCATTAGGCATTCCCCTTAAGGATTATCCGTTAATTTCAAGTGGCTTGCGCTCCTTAATTAATTTTAACCGTTGCTAAGTTAAGTTATCCGTCAAGGGCAAAATTCTATAGATATGGTTGAAGGCCAAACTCACTTAATCTCTAACTAGAAATAAGTCGTTAGCAATTAAACGGAAACTTGAAAAAATTTAACATCAAACAGGAGTCAAAACATCGACCTTCTTCGAAATAAAAAATGTTAACGCAGAACGTTTAGAATTCCATCAGAAAAGATGAAATGTATTCCAATTGAATTGAATTCTAGTCCAAATTGCAAAAGTTTTGTGTTCAGAAAGGGCCGTTTTGGGTCTCCTTTTGGCAAACCACCGGAAACGTAAAAAATCTGACATGAACAGAGGACGAAATATCTACCTTTAACCAAACGAACAAATTTAACGCAAATTGTTTGGGATTCAATCAAAAAAGTTTGAAATCTTTGAATTCTGATCAAAATTGACAAAGTTTTGGGTTAAGAAAGGACCGTCTTGGGTCACCTCTTGGCAAGCCATCGAAAAATCTGATGTGAACAGGTGTGAAAAAATTTACCTCCTCCGAAGTGAAAAAATTTTAACGCAGATCGTTTATTTTACTCATGTATATTACATGGTCTACATGCGGTATGGTTTTGGATTTGACTAGGTGTGTATTCTACACGAGAATACTTAATTACATTTCGGCAGAATTTCAATTTCGGAGGGGATGCAAAAACAAATATTTAAATCTAATGTTGTAATTTCTTTTCGTAAACAATAATTCATTCAGTATGGTTTGCTAAAATAAAATTTTTGATTTGATTTGCAAGTATACCAGCGACTTTACTTTTCTAGGGGAAACACAAATTTGTTTCTTTAAATAAGTTTATTTTTATTAATGGCACAGAAAATATACATGTAAATCACAAAACCGTACATATCGACGGTTTATAGTCATAATATAGCATACTTAGACGAGCCTAAGAATTAAAACTAAAGTATAGCATACAACGGGGAAGCACTTTGATGAGAAAACATAATAATTCTGTCGATCGGAGAGTCTAAATTCTCAATGTTAAACGCCTTTGGGGCTTCTGGCGTTCCTTTTCCGCTCGATCCTTTCGCAACCGAAGGATTTCCTCGGCTCGAAGCTCCTTACGCCTGCTGGGCGATATATCCACTTTGAGATCAATTTCGGATTCGATCCTGGGAGATCGGCGACTTATCATAAAACCAGAGGAGTCTTTGGCGAACAACTTTTGCTGTCGCAATTTTACACTGCGTTTCGGAGTTTCGGGTAACTCTTCGTTCTCGGAAACCAAGTTCTCGTCCTCTATTGTTAACACTTCCTTGAACATTTCCTCGACGGCGGTGAAATATAGCGTGGAATCGGAGGTCATTGTGAACCTGATGCTGGCGAACAACTGAGCCCAAAAGTGATTGAAGCCAGTCAAAGGTCGACTTTGAAATGCATTGGTGCACAGACCACCAGACCCCGGGCACTTTTCAACCCTCGACGAGGATCCAGGCTACCTGATCCTAAACAATGGTATACAGAAAACTAGGAAAAACAGCTGGAGAGGCGACTAATACTAGACTGAGGTAATGAGGGGTTTCCCTGCTGGTAAACCCTCATATTCGTAACATCTTAGGTACATTTGAACTCCCCTAAATCGAACTCCCATTAGGCAAACATTTTAAGTTTTAATAACTAGTTTTTCCAGTTTATAGTACTAGTTTAAAGAAGCTTATACAGGATTCAAGTTGAATATTAAATATATAATTTTTCAAATTTGTATCGAAATTTTATTGAAGTATAATATTTATGAATTACAACATTATAGTACAATTTATCGGATTTATTTTTGTAGTAAATCAAAGTCGTTTGGGTTTAATGGCCTTATGTTTATGGTACTATAGGTAATGGGTAATTTTTCACGCCGGAAAACAAAGCTAAAAGCACAAAGTGAGTCACATTTTTGTCCCCTTAGTTATTATCAACTGGCAAATACCCAACCCTTTTAGAACCCACAAATTGCTCATTGAGTTGAGTCGCAAACTATCTGTAGATAAGAAAAAATCCCATTACGAGCATCCGACTCGATTAGATTAAATGACGAATTGGACAGTTTTGGTTTTGGTTTCGTTTACTTTCGTTTCGTTTTTTTCTGAGTTATTATTAATGCCTATAGCCTATAGTATAAATTCATGTCCTCGAAATCAGTATTCCTTACTGAAGTAGTCGCGTATGCTGCGCTTCACAATGGGCGCCAATTGGGCGACCTGATTCTGCACCTCCGTCGTTTTATCCTTGTGATAGAAGACCGTGAAGTAGACAATCAAGCCGATAACCACGACCATCAGGAGCGCAGAAAACACGATACTCAGGAGCATCTTGCAGGCGCACGAACAGCAGCTGTAAAGATATAGAAATCGGATTAGAAAGTTCTCAAAGTGATTGGGTTTATCCTAGGTGGAATGAGATATGATCAAAGTGTCTATTTATGTGGCTGTCAGTTAAGAGATTCAAGGTATAGTCATTTTAAAACTGAACAGCAACAAAAGCTGACTAAACTTAATACAAGTAATACCAGCTGAGTAAATATAAAATTAAATCCCTTCACTTTTATAACTACTTTCTATAACTATCTATAAATAGTTTTCTATAGTAAATCCTTAAGTAAAAGCTCTTCGGGTCAAAGAATCACTTATATGATGTCTTCCTCATATGATGAATCAAGAACCAATGCGAAGTTAGTAGTGGGATTGGTAATTCCTTTAGTAAAAGCTCTTCTTCCGGTTAAAGGATCACTTATATGATGTTTTCCTTATATGATGAATCAGAAACCGATGCGAACTTACCAGCAAACAACTTTGCCGGGGCATTTGAGGCATTCACAGAGAGCGTTGCACATGGTGACGAATTTGGCTTAATGTAGTAAATATATTAAGTGGATACGGTTTTACGACTCCCGGTTCTCGATGCGTTGTTGACCAACAGAAATTATCAACTGAAGGTGTGTTACTGCCATCGACCGCATTTCGAGTCGACAGGTATTGAAAGCTTTAATCATATCGGGCACAAAAAAAAACACTGATAACAAGTCGGTCATAATTAACGCGACGCTTGTGGCAAAAGCGGTAGAGAGATATTGGAAAATAGAGCTTACACTCATTCACTTCGATCGGGTAATGTATCCATCCTGGTAATTTATCCATCCCACACCAAAAAGACATAAAGAATAAGGACTAATTTTATAACCAATACAAAAGCACAAAACAGGATCGCGATACGATATTTTTTACACGTTCCGAGATTTGCTGGATTCATTGTAATATTTTGCATATATATGGAATATCACAAAGAATGTTATTGTAAGCGCGACAATAACCACAACAACAACAATTAATTGTCGATTCCGGCACATGCTACATTCGATTTTGATTTCAAAATTTTAACAAAAAACAAAATTTGATTAGGGTGTCAAAGGTAGATGAATCATAAAATCGTAAAATACTGGTAAAAGGGGGCAGACAGTCCGTGACGATGACAAACGACTTCAGATAGGCGACATATGATACGTTCTAGAATCTAGATTCATTAAAGACAAAATCAACAATGTATAAAGAAAGGTTTTTCCCATCCAAAAGTTTCCTATTTTTAAATTATTACTGTGCAGGAAGTTATATATTTGTTATCACTGATGAAAGCCAAACTCTCCTCGATTGCTGCTCAATACGAAACGCTTTGGGGATTTAGTAATCTCTCCCAAAAAGACCTATTAACTGATAGTAAAAAGCTGTCAATTAAGCCACAAATACTCTAGAAAAGTGGTAAAAATTCGTGGAAACTAGAATTGTAGGAAAGTTTTCAGATTCCTTATCTTTACTATTGACAACACTATTGGGTTTTATCCTTTTGAAGAAAAAGTACCGTGTAGGTATGGCTGTTTCCACTATTAAAGTGGATATTATAGAAAGAACCCTCAATTTAAACTGGAACAAACCTTTCAAGAGGCTTAGATAACATGGTTATCCTAAGTTAATCGACCATTTTAAACTTACCAGCAAACAACTTTGCCGGGGCATTTAATGCATTCCCACAGAACGTTGCACATGATGATATAAGTTATTTAATTATCTAAAAATCTATATTAGTAAATTCCTAAATAGGATTCCGATCACCGTTCTTCCGGATCTCGACGTGTTCTTAACCAAACCAAATGGATAACTGGCAATTCTCTGTGTGCCATTTTCCCACTTTGGGGCGAAAAGTGTCGAAAGCTTTCATCATATTGATGGAAATTGAGAGAAACTGATAACGATTCGGTAATGATTAACACGATCAGAAAAAAGCTTAGATTTTTACTTAATGGAAGAGGGTTGAACATTTTTTTAGCGGAGGGTAAAACTGCTTGATCTAAATTTTTAAGGGGATTCACTAAAGCTTTTGGTTTTACCAAAAAATGTAATCTCTATCTAATCTTTATAGCTGCCAAGCTTCGATAAGTTATTACCAAAATTCATGTGTCACTTGTAGAATTTTTTCTTTAATAAACGTTTTAAATAAGCACTTAAGGTAGGTTCAGTTTCCAAGAACCTTATCTTTATCGGAAAAGCTAAACATATGACTAAAACAAAGCATATGAAGATTAAGGTTAATTTGACAATGATTTATAATATATTTTATGACACGATAATGTCAACAATGCTTTTTATTTGTAAACAAAAATATTATAATATCATTTCACATATATGTATATGTAAATACTACTAAAAACTATTTATATAATAAAAAGATAATTTGTAAATATACAAAAATAATTCAATAATCAAAACCACACATTTTGAAAAAAATTAGTTATTATCAAATTGTAAAGAGTTTAACCTAATCTATTTGAATTTGGCTTTAATTGCAACCTTTTTTCGCTCCGAGGGAAAAGTAAACAGGGGGAAACTCACAAAGTTGGTCCCCATTAATGCAGGTCGCCGATATTCGGGTTCTGCCGTGATACCCGAAACCAATTGCTGATGTTGACAATTTAATGGACTTCTTTTGCCACTTTCAACGTAAGCAGACCTCTAGCTCTAAGCTCAGTGCAAATTTGCGTTCAAAGATGGTCAGTCAAGGGATTCTCCATTTGGGATTTCCAACTATTCTTTTCGCTTTAACCACAGAAGCCTGGCTGATGTCCCAATCCGGCTTGAACGAATCCAATTACCATGTGCGTCACCTCTCCATGCATTTCTCGCGAGTGTTTCTCAGCGTAAAAGTGGAAAGCAATGAATCCCCCACTCTGATTGAAGCTCAGTGGCCAGTTTCGTATTTTCCCATGGCCACAGTGGTGTTTCCGCACGAGGAAGTCCATGCCAATGGAGACCATGACGACTGCGCTTTACTGCAACAGGCTTACTGGTCACAGGTGGATGCACTGAGTCGACTTTGGGTCATGGACATTGGATTCCCCGACAGCAGATGCTCGCCCCGGTTATTCGTCTTCGATTTGATACGCAACAATGCCGAAATATTGCGAATCGATTGTGGCCAACACATTGGAGTGAATGACACCCAAAATCTGGTGGTGCAAATGGGACCAAAAGGTCCTGGTTGCGAACAGGAGCGTCACATTTACTTCATCCTCGGTGAGGAACCGGAAATACTGGCCTACGACATTTTGGAGCAAACTTGGCAAAGTTTTTCATTGGAGAGTCATAAGTACGAGAACATGAACCAATCGTTTCCCATCAAGCCAGTGGATTTTACTTTTGGTCTGCAAGGCGAACTCATCCTCTCCGATCAGGATGGTGATCTTTACAGCACCAAGGATCGACTGGAACTAGAAATTAAGAACGAATTAGCCAGCAATTCAATAGCTAACTCCATCCAACTCAACCATTTGGGAAGTCTGCTGGGCAGCAGTCGCAGCATGATCATCGACAATTTCGGAACCCTTTACTATGTAATTCCCAAATTTGGAGCCGTAGTGCGATGTGCTAAGCTGGAAAACATCACAGCCGAGGGCAATGAAATCATCTACTTCACATCGAAGAACATCCAGCAGATATTTTTCAGCTCCAACGATGCATTGTGGGTGCTAAGTGATCGGGTGTTAAATGCCAAAGATATGTGCTTTCCTAGCTTGTAAGAATAAAATATAAATATAAACTAAGTATAGTACAAAAAACATTAGGCATTGTGTATATGTTTTGTTTATTATTCGTTTCCTCTGGCTTGGTGATGTAATTCGTTTGGTTTGATAATAATGCTATGAATAGTTAATGGACCAAAAAACAATTAAATTAATGGCTAACAGTTTGCTTATTTAGATAACCCATCAAGGCCTGCAATCGCTTCTTGATGTTCTTCTGATCGTCAAGAGTGCAGCCGAGCAGAACGCTCTCGAACTTCTTATCGATGGGCCCCAAGTCGGCCTCGGGCACGGTATCCAATTGGCCCGATGAGTCCATCGATGTGCTGCAGCAGGCATTTAAGTATAACTGGCATCGCTGGCGTGCGATGACAGGATCGCCCGTTTTGATCATTGTGTCGATCAATGCATTGATTTGGCTAAGTGAATCCTCCTGCGAGTTGTCCCTCACAGTGCGCACATTCAACTCCACGGTGCCCAAACGTGAGCTTACTCGCTGGATGTACAACATGATCTCCTCACGTTCAGCTATAAAAATAGTTGTGATAATGAATTATGTACATAATTTCTTGGTTAACCAATCCATACCTTCGCTCATGTTCTGCATCATTTCGTTGCTCTTGATCAGATCCATGGACATCAAGAGGTAGTCTTTCTTCTCCTGCAAGTTAAGTGCATCTTTGCGCAGTTTCTCCACCCGGGCATCCAACTGATCCAGTATGTTGACAAATCTGCAAGTCACTCGACGATTAGTCTGGTTTAATCGTGATCAAACTCATGCTTTACCTCTCGCTGGCGTTAAATGGTCTGTCACGTGTTGGTTAAATGTGATGGGGGTTCAGTGGATTAGGTCATGAAAAGAGACAAGCAACGTTAGATGGTTAGATCGCTCTGCTTCGAATCGACTGTCCACTTATAGAGCTACGAAGTTATAACCAGATAAGGTCTACAAAAGAGGCGCTCTCGCGCACACAGCTCTTTTGGAGCTGTGTGGGCGTTCGCAGCAGATACTTTAAGCTATCACCACATTATTTTTACGGAACAAAAGAAACGATTGAAGCTGGTAGCTGGTAGTGTGAAGAAATAATAGATAACGAACTTATAAGTTTTGTTTTTTTCGCTACAAAGGCTGTGAGTTTGTTTCGGTTTTCGTGTTTGATTTGGTTTTTTTAGGTAGTATGGAATAACAACCTGTCCAAGGCTCTACTGTCGTCGACGAGTCCGTAGGAGCTGTTCCCGCCATTGCCGCCGCCTCCTCCGGATCCTGCTGTGGATGAGGAGGCCATGGCGCCGGCCCTCAGATCTTGCAAATAATCGAAATTCATTGATGACTCCGAGTTGTGCAGATGATGTCTATAAAGCTGATGGTGATGGTCAAGATGATTCTCGAGATAATTGTCGCTGGTTTGTTGCGCTGTTGGCGCATCAACTTCCATATCCTGCGGCTGATCCAGAGTGATTAAAACCTGCCACCTTCCGAAATCCGGTCAAGTGCTTGTAGCCCAAGATGGCCAGCTGCCTACTGTTTCTTTTTAATTTATTTTATTTTATTTTTTTGTAGCCCCTTTTGTGGCTACCTTTTTGGAATGTCTTAAGCTTTTTTTGAGTGGGTGTCGAGGTGTTCGATGCTCTGTCGCTTAGTTTTGCTTAATTTTATTTGTTTCTGAAGCTGCAAGAAGAGAGAAAGGGAGCGTGAATGCCAAGCATTGAATTACCTATCCGTTTGTAAGCTGTGGAAAGATGTCTCCGACGAGGAGATTTCGTAGTCATCGACGTCGGCTATATCTTCAGGATATCGGGGAATTAGCCCTGGAATCCCATTGGGCGGCGTCTGTGGCGTGGGCGGGGGCGTGTCCGACTCGCAGCGACGTCGTTTCCGAAAAATACCGCGCAAATTCTCCAACATTTTCCCCGAATAAACAAATGTTTCTCTAGAAGATTCCACCCAATTCTAGTGCTCTTCTTCGACAGCTGTTCTCTAGAAGAAACCAAAACTTTCTGCGGTGTTTTGGATTTGCATAGATTACCTGCCGCCCGGGTTCCGATTTTATTACGTCTTTTGCCCGAAACAAAAGGATTGTTGATTTTTCGAGAGTCTGGGAGTTTGAGTTCGATGACGGCAAAATTCGTGTGTGATGTTTTTTTTCGTAGGCACCGTGTGTTCATATCCTCAGTTTCATGCTGAAAGCACCGGCGTTGTTTACTTCTCAGGCCAATTCCACATTTCTTTTTGCTAACATATATATTTAGGTATAAATATGATTAATTTAACATTATATAGTGGAATTTGTGAGACCGTGCGCGGTTTGCCGAAAAATGACAGTAACAAAATCGATACGAGTTATCGTAGAAATCCGAAAAGCCAGTGTGTACACATTATTTCGGGGTACAAATTACAATCGGCGGTAAATTTAAAAAAGTGGAAGCTCTTTATTTATTTGAGAAATAAAGCTATAAAGCCGTGTTCCAATTCAAGTCTTATTAAAAGATGAAAACAATAGAGTTAAATTTTAACTTCTACTTTATTAATGTTGCCAAATTCAAATCGCGCACACATAAGGCGGTACGCGACCATTGACAACTTTTGGTGGCAATATCGAAGTAATAATAGAAGGGACATTGCTGCAAGCTGGCGTGTCCTTTTACACAATAAATGAAGAACTCGCAGCGTTGCATGTGCGGATACAAATGTTGTCCGTAAGCCGGACAATGGATGAGATCGCTAGACGGAAAGTTGGAGTTCCCATTTGATGGGGAATCCTCCTGGCCGACTAGAGAACATTGGGCTTTTTCCGGAACATCACACTTGGCAGTCACTGCATTCCAATGCAACTGCGAGCTGCACTCCTGCAATATCGCCTGGCCGTAGTAGCAAATGTAATATTTGTTGCAACTACTCGAGCTGCCAACATAAACAATTCGATCGCTGGACTGCTGCTCCATCAGAGATGCACAGTAGGTGGCGGCATCTGTGACAATGTTGTTAGGATCACCATCGCCACCGCTGTTTGGAGTACTTTCCGTACTCGTATCCGTGCCCTCTCTGCACTTCACATTTCCCGCCGCATCGCAAAGTCGACTTTCCGAGTTGAAGAGCATGGTTGGTGGACAGGAAGCCAGGACAGCATCCCCATTCTCAACGCACAGGTAGAACATGTGGCAGTCCTCCGCGTGCTCCACGAATTCACCCACCAAATGGTTGGCACAAAAGCCTCCTCCACTCTGCCGAATGGTCACCGAATTCGTGGGCTTTGATGGTTTCCAAATTCCCTGGGTTGAAACAAGCACACAGCTTGCCAATAAATATAATGCTATTAACAGAAAATTATGATTATTTATTGGTTTTATTTATTAATAAAAAAGTATTTTACTAACCCGTATTAAGCATCATCTTGGGTTCTTATGTCAGACTCCAGTAAAGCGCAGTTTTATTCTAATTTCGTAATGCCGCAAGAACTTGGCATATATGCTATAGAAACGGCGCCAAGATACAGCCGAATATCAGCCGCAGTATCAGAAAATTAACATTTTCAAGTGCTTGTAAGCGGAGTTGATAACGCTCTTGGGGCAACAACACCTCAGTACTTTTCTTTTGTTTTGCCAAAAAGTCTAGGTTTCCTTTCCTCGCAATGGAACGATACGATATCTCCCTTTCGCACTGAGATACATCTTTAAATCTTCACGGATTTTTTTAATTTCACGAAAAGTCAGCCGAGATAAGCTTGCCAAGATTGTAGAAAACAGTACCAAATCAATTGGTTAAACGATATGTTGTCCTTGTAAAGAAAATGGTATCATATCGGTCAAAGAGTTCCACTTTCCATTAAAATCGAAGGCTGGCCTACTTCTATCAAAAATTTTAGCAGGTGTTGTGATTCAAGGTTCTTATTTCGCAAAGATATGAAAGTGTTGCCAAGAATGTTAGAATGATTCAAGGCCAAATGCTTTGGCGATAAGTTATATAAGAATGTTTAATGTCTTACAATCTTTGATGATGAACAAAATATGATAATATTGAGAGCTATTTAGTTGAAAAGCAGAATTTTAACAAATAATAATAAAATGATAATATTAAGAGCTACTTATTTGATGAGCAGAATTTTAACAACGATTTCTACAAGTATTTGTTACTAACTCTTATTATAATGTTTTATTTTAGTTTTTAATTGTTAGTCTCGTAGTAAATAATTTAATGACTAAGTTTTTTAAAATCACACTATTTAGCTGATTCTTATCAAATATCTAATATTCCTCGCAGCAAATAGAACCCAAAAGTAAACTTTTCTTGATGCTGTGATAAAAATAAAATAATTTATTATTATATTTTTTATAATACATATATTGTTATATTTATTATAATTTCATTTGCATCTGTATCTTGTTATAGCACCTCGCCTGACTCAATGCAACACAGGTTCGCTTCACGTAGTCCCAGCCATAGAAAAAGGGGCACTGTTGCACCATTAAGTATCCAGAACGGCATTGGTAAAAGTAGTTGCAATTGTCCGAATGAGGATAAACATCGATTACGTGTCTTTTGCACTGCTCTCTGGGATTAGAAGCCATTGCCTAAGGAAAGTATTAACTAATTATAAGGTATTTTGGTTAAACAATTATAAAATAACTCACCAGACACATGACATTCTCGGGATGATCGCATTTGCCTGTCCGGGAATTGAAATGCAAACTGGCGGCACAGCTCATGGGAAGCGCTTGGCCACGATAGCAAATATAATAATCGGAGCAGGAGTTCTGATTTGGCAGCAGTGCGATACGGGTCTGATTATCCAGTTGGGGGCACATATTGGTCACAACCACCTCCGTTCCGGGAGATATCGTGCTCGAAATGGAAGTGCCGCCTTGATTGACTGACGGACGCACTGTAACAATCACCGATGGAGCGACTGTTGTAATTACATCCGTGGATATTGTAGTTGGCTCCGCCACGTCAGAAACTTCCGAGTTAATCTCGACTGCATTATTGGCATTATCTTCCGTTTGCACGGCCAATCCCGTGCGGCAATCAATATCGCCCATGGGCTCGCACATTTCCATATCGGGACTGAAGTATTCGCCCTCCTCGCATTCGCCGTCGTATGAATCATCGCCGTTGCAGAAAATGTAATGTGCGCAACTTTTCGGGGAAGTAACAAAGGCCAGGTTGTTACCATCATTGCACTCCTCAAACAAATCAGCCAAACTCATTCCAAGGAACAAAGTTAGGAGCAAAACGGATCTAAAGTACTTCAACATCTTTTCTACTTCGTTTCGAAAAGCGAACTGATCGCATTTCGTATGCAGACTTTGGTGCTTTCCACCCACCTGAACTTCATGTTGCTTATCAGAAATTAATTTGCTTAGAAACAGCGTTTGATAAATACTTTATTACAGACTCACAGATGAATCTTACAAGAGTAAAATCGATGAGCGATTGGGTTTCTTGGAAATACACTGCCCTTGGGCTGAATCAAAGTGAAAATTCTGGGGGCATTGCTGGAGCAGAAGATAACCGGCGATACATTGGTAGTAGTAATTGCTATTCGCCGGATACGGATAGACTCCATTCCGGCCACTCGTCTTGCAGATCACATGGACATCGCTGCTGGGAGTGGAAGTGATGACTTCACTAGGTGTTTCAGTAGAAGAAGCGGTGACTTTTGTCGTAGAAGTGGTGTTTTGGGAAGGCGTTGTTTCCGTAGTTCTCTCTATGGGTTTAATAGTGGTAATGGGTTCTGGAGGTTTTGTGGTAACTTCTTTGACATAACACTCGACAGCTTCGCGACAATCGCCGTTGCAGTAGTAGGAATTATCTCCATCGCAGTGGACAAACTCGCTGCACTCCTGGTTTTCGTTTGCTATTTTATTTATGATCACTCCCTTGCACTCTTCAAGGAAGGCCGCCTGCACCTGACAATGAGGTAACAGGCAGGCCAGCAATATCAACAACCGCCACATAAAACAAGCTTTCAACTGTCTCATCCGAGAGATCAGAACCTACTTTATAGCTAAAAAATACGCAACACTTTGCTTGTACTTCGATAAGACACAAAATTCGTTTGATTTTCCAGCTATTTTATTTGACACGACAAGGGGCTTAATTAAAAGTGTTTGTTTTTTCTTTTTTTTATTAATTTCTTATTTCAAAATACAATCGTCTGAGCTGCGTATGCGGCCACCACAAGCTCCAGTTTCGGGATCGAAGGCGTAGCCAATAGGACATTGCTCCACCAAAAGAAAACCATCCACGCAGTAGTAGAAGTAGTTGCAATTCTGCGGATAGCTAAACCTCTTGGTTACACCCTGACGACACTGACGTCGAACGTCCGAGGGCGAGACGGTTGTCACCACAATCGGAGTGGTTACCACCGGTGAGTCAGTGGTGTTGGCCACTGGGTTGATGTCGCCACAGGTGAAATTGGCACTGCAAGTCCTGTTGTCCGTGCAGAAAAGTGAATCCGCCGCCGAGCAATTTATATAGGCATAACTACAGTTTGTACGGGTATTGTTGATAAATCCATTTTGACCCGTGCACTCGGGAATGTTGAGGCCATGGATTCCCCAGACGACGAGGATTACGCCGTAAACGATCAAAAGGCAGTCCAAGCGCAAAGATTGCTGCATTCTCGATCTGTGTGGCGTTCGGAGCTGAGGCGCTTAGCTTTTTATAGCACGGCAGGTGGCAGTCAAGGGTTTTTTCCTAATAACTTATATTTAATTAACCGTCTCATGTTGCGGCAATCGTGTAACTTATCAATAAATAGAGGGCTTATCACCTAAGGTACAGAGAACAACTCCGCAACTCCAAGTTCTGATGAGTTTTTCGTGGGAGTTTCCGGTCTACAGACGTCGGGAGTTTCCGTAGCATTTCGCCACACCGATTTGCACACAACTGCGGCGTTCGGTGTCCCATCCGTAGTAGAAGGGGCATTGCTGGAGGGTGAGGAAGCCCTTGATGCAGTAGTAGAAGTAGTTGCAGTTGTCCGGATGCGGAAAGAACTCGGTCATGTGGGGCAGGCACTTGTGCGACCGCGGATCCTCCAGCTGCAAAAGCATTTAACTCATTTAAATATCTGATTGATACGAATCTCTAAATGAAACCTACAGCACACTGAACATTCTCGGGGTAATCGCACTGACCGCTGATCGCATTGAAGTACAACTGATTGGTGCAGTGCATCTCCATGGCGTGGCCGTGGTAGCAGAGATAGTAATTCGTGCACGACTGGTTGCTGGCCATCAGAATCACCTGGCCGGGATCATCGGTGATGGGGCAATTGGGCTTCACAACCGGGGCAATGTTCAGGATGTCCACCTCGGTCGGTGGGGGTGCTTCAGTGGGTGGTTCCGTGGGTTGCGGTGTGGCTGGTTCCACTTCCGGTTCTGGTTCAGGTTCCGGTTCATCCGGTTCATCCAGAAAGCATTGAACATTGGCCGCAATGTCACATCCTCCCGTCTCCGCGTCGAAGTACTCCCCCCTCATCGCATTCTCCCTTCAGGGAATCCTCACCCTGGCAGTAAACATACGACTGGCAGTTCTCCCAACTCTGGACAAAGGTCTCATCCTCCACGCCATCGCACTCGTCGAAGTGATCTGCATTTATTATTGAACTCAACAGGAGGAGCACAGAGCAAATAAATAGGAAATATTTGGACATTTTCCTGGCTTCGTCTTGAATCTTCTACTGAAAGCAATCGATCGCTTCACCATTATATTTATGGAAGCATTTCGAAGATTTTTCCCGCAAAAGTAACCGCCGACATGCATTTCTTTTTAGTCTAATTGAATATCATTTTATCGGAAGACCTTCGAGATAGCTCCAGATGCTAGGTTCAATGTATTACAAAATATTCTGGCCTCCGTGTGAATCACCTGTACAGCATACAGCATTCCTGATGGGTTTTCAACTATCTTCCATTATGTCATCATTCGGCTGCAGAACCGACATTACAGCGTTCGTTGGTTCCACTTATTTTGCTGAATGTGTTTACACAAGCCGAAAAACTTTTAAATTAATATTCAATAAGCCAGCACACACGTACCTACATACAAACATCCACACAACGGGACAAAAAGACAGAAAAAAAGCGTCAAAAGCGTGAAAAAGACAACGCAACAGAAATCATTGACCTCAACAAACGCCGCATTGGCCGTATTTTGTTTATGGCTAGCTAAAGACCAAGACTTCGGTCTGAAAATACACTTGGGATAATAAGACGCGAATGGAAGCTACCCTGCTGCAAAAAATCATTAAAAAATTCACAGTCAAAACGTAGATAGGATATTATCTATAAGAACGTTCTAGTTCCCATCAAAAATTCGTACTTCAAACATCAAAGAAAACATAGTTCGTTGAAAACTATCTTATGATCACTGTTTTCTCGCTAAGTTTTGTATATAATTAATATAATTACAATAAGATTATAGGTGACATCCATAAATTAATCGCGATTAGTGTTTGGCGGATGAAGAGTACCTAATCTTCGATCTGGCATTTCTTCCAGCTTTTGTTATGATATAAATCACACAAACTTGTGATTTGCCCGGGGTGTATTTCTTTTTCGGTATTCCTTTCCATTATTTGCACCATCATGGCGTTGACCATTGAGTGGATCGATCGCACGTAAGAATTTGCACAAAATCTAATTTATTGTCAAGCATTTCGAAAGACGATAAGACAGAAATAAGCGAAGCTAGTTAGTCTATGCTGGCCTGGCTTTATCGTGCACCTGTAAAGGGGGAGAAATATATTAAAAAATTAAAAGAAAAAAAAAAAATAAAACCAAAAAATCAACAAGCGCAGGTAGTGAGCTGTGAAGTTCTTTATGGAAACTGTTCGTCGCTCTGTTTAAACAAGTGCAAACGTAACCAATCTTTTGTTGTTGCACAGTATACACTTTATACGCTTTATTATAGCCCATTTCTTATGGGCGATATTTGCTTTAAATGCAATTGACAGATGGATGGACGGAACGGAACACATCGATCGAGCCAGAACAAAAGAAGGCCCAATGCGCTGACGTTATGTGGATTCAGTTGTAACGACAACGACGGCAAAATGTCTGCTGCGTTGCGTATGTTTACACGACAAAATGTACATTAATATAATATATATACCATACAATACCATACAGTCCAATGCTGCGATCGACGAATCGTGTATTTAATTTACAATCCACATGTACATTTATTTACAAGCGTGTGTTTTAGTATCATTTGCTAGTACCTTTATTTTCACTTCCATTTTTTATTATTGGGCCAAAACAAGTGGCTGGCGATGACACGATCGCTCCAAAATATCCTGAGGGAGAGAAAAAACCCGACAATGAGATCATTTATTATTTTTAGACAAAAGTAAGCGCGTATCGTATCTCTAAATGGCAGGTACCACATTCAACAGATACACTGCGTGCGATCTTCAACTCTGTTTTTGACAAAGTGATAATAATGAAACTGGGTCAGAACGCATTGTTGTATGGCTTATTTAGCTGTCGCTTTCAGCTAGAACAGATCGTCGGCAACAAAGAAAACTGGAAACTGACTAAGTGAGGAATGTCTAACCCAATTAACAACTCCTGGGAGATCAATGTCCTGCTAAACACATTGTTATGCATTATTTATGTGATAGTCATCCGTCATTGAGATTCCTAAACATGAGCACATATTTTTAGATGCCATGGCATATGTTTTTATGCATTTTTCTCAGTATTTTTCCGAGGAACACATAAAAGCCACAGGCACAGCTGCTTTTTCATACAAGTTGCTAATAATAGCATATCATTAAACAAGAGAATTTTCGCTTAATGTACAGAATAAATACAACTTATCAACTTCAGCTCGAAAATAAAGTTCACAGTGAAATTCTCTTGATTGTTTCGAGTTAATTTATTAATTCTACATAAACATCGCTTTCAATATTGGTTCTTTTGTTAAAGAAATGCCCACGGGCAAATGAAATTTATGCTAAAAATAATTAGCGATAAGAAAATGCTACGAACCGCTGAATATGAAAAGGAACCCTAAGAGTCGATACGACGTGAGTCACTTTACCACTGCGATAAGCCGTCCTTTGTGTCCTGAAAGGGAAATCCTTATCTGCAAAGTATCCATGAAATACGTATCCCATACTAAGAAACTAGCATTCTATGCTAAGATAACACTAAAATTATCAAGCAGAGAGCGTTCAACTTCATGAAGGTTTTATGTTCTATGACATTACAATTTCGAAAATATGGTAGGAAATGTATTTACAGTGTTTGTGTTCGTTTTGGGCAAATCTGAAGTGATAACGAGAATCCGCAATAACAAAATTTCATTCATAGGGGGAAGTTATTAAATTATCAAGCCCAAAGTCGTGACAGCACTGGAATCTAATCAGAAGTCTCTGGCGTAATGCTAAATTATATTTAAAAGAAATCTCAAGTGCAGATTAAAATGTTACTGCAGATAAACAGGAACGAAATGCTGACGAGAGTGCTCAGACTTGCAGACACCTACATCATAATGCCTCCTTCATCTCCCACCGAATTGTATCTTTATTTTTCCAGTGAACACTCAGCCCAACTCACACCCATAAGCCCACAATCTTTTCTTTTTATTTTGATGTGATTCACATATCAAATAAAATACATATAAAATATTAAAAGAGAAAAAGAAAAATACAGGAATAAAGCGTTGTCAGTGGCGAAAAATATTTGTGCCAGCCATAAGATACAATATATCTCTTTCTACTGTATATACTATATAACTGTAAAAACCACTTGAAGCAACGCCGGCAGAGCACGATCGGATCCGCCAAGAGCATGAGGAAGAGAGGCGTAGCCGTAGATGCGAGTTAAGAGAGAAATCGGTGTGTGTGTGTGTATTTTCTGCCTCGCAAATAAGGGGCGGTGTTGGGGTACGAAAAATATTGGGAATGGCCCGGCTCGGTTCGGCTTTACCCGGCGGAGATGGATTCGGGGATCGGGGACGGAGCACTCAGCTATGCGGGTTCAAATGCGGCCAGCATGACGAATTATTACACACAGTCTCGCGGCTGGCAAATGAAATTTAATGTACACTGGAAAAACCCAATTGATTTTGAGTGAGAGTATATTATTAAATAATAAAAACACTTAAAATTTTATTATTCTTTATATGTAATGATGATACAATGCAAAATGGAATTTAAAAAGATGATAAAAGTATAAATATCTTCTCTAAGCGACATAAAATACAGAAATAATTACCAAAAATAAACATCATTTGAGCTCAAATTGTTGAAATTTATAATTTTTAAAATATAATTTGTATTATTATAAAATAAAAAAATTGAATTAAAGTCATACCATTATTCTATTTCTTTAAGTGTACAATACAAAACATTCACTCACACATTTTGGCGATTCATTTGGCTGTTTATACACTCACAATGCACATTGATGATGTTGTTGATGGGATTGTGATTCAAGTATGCACAGAGTATACACGTACATAAAATATCGAAGCAAGAAGGGAAAGGCTACCCTTGCGAATTTACCATCGACCGCTTATATATAATAGATGCCGAAAGCCAATTGATGTTGAGCTTTCAGTTCGATCAAGTTTGACAAGATCGGCTTAACCTTTTCCTAATTAGAAAGTGTAACGAAATGCGAACGAGCCGATCTTCTCTATTGGGTAAAGCGAACGAATTTCCTTGCCATAATTCAGAGTAATTCTCTGTGACGAAATGGCTGGGGAAATCGATGTACTCCTGCGGAAAGAAAAGAAGGGCATTTAATGATCCCTCTCAGTGGCGTCTTGTTGGCCCAGCTATCAGAGCCCATTGATCTGGGAGTATCGGGTGCTTGTCTATGGGGATTTTCAATGCGATAATCAAGCCGACGGGCAACCCGACCCGTTTAGATTTACTATGTAAGCCATATTGGAGATTTTCAAATTTTTTTCGTTTTGTTCCCAAATGAAATACAATAAAATCACGGCAACAAATAAGAAATTAGTGGCCGAAAGAGCTGGGATACAGATACATGACATGCACGACGGAGCTATTGCCTCTCCATATGTATTACACAAGCGTTATTGTATATTTTTTTTTTTTTTTTGTATTTTGTGAAAACATCGCCGTTGTCATCGTCGTCTGCGATGTATCTCTGTATCTGTATCTGTTGCCCGGGCAGCTTTAAACCGGATCTTTGGTTTGAAAGTACATTCACTTTGCGCCGTCGACGCTGACGTAGCTGCGTTGCAGCAGCCCAAGTGGCAGAAGTCCAGACCAGGCCCCAAAGATCCCAAGATCCCAACCCCAAAGACCCCAAAGCAAGACTCCGGCGAAACAGCCTTCAAATGACAAAGCAAAAGGCTTGGAGCTGCGCTCTCCGTTTGGCTTGGTCTGCACATGTGCATAGTTCAAATAACTTGGTCAAGTTGACAAGATCAACGGAGCGAGTGTTACCAAGCGGCAGCGAACCAAAGTCGGGTCTGGTTGCAGAGCGGGGAAACCCCTCTGCGGCCCCCCACCTCCTCTGCGCCTTCTCAATCGGGCCAAATCAAATAGTCGTACCTACCAACAACAGCGGCAACAACAAAAAATCTATAATAAAAAACAGGTTAACAAATGTTGCCGCAACGGCGACCGAGACGCCGACTTCGACGTCGGAAGAAACTTGTTTTCCTTTCCTATGCGACTCCGGGTCTCAGATCTCCGGTTTAAAAAAACCGACGTCAAAGCCGGCTTACGACAATCAACTTACATTCACTTCTCAAAGCCGCAAAGAGCGAGAAAGTTTCACTAAGAGCGCGCTTTTCGGGAGAGAGAGAGAGAGAGAGAGTCGGTTACTAACTAAGCCGGCTGCCCGCATGCTGCACAGTATCAAGGGTAGATATGCATTTGTGGCTAAGAACCATGGGAATAAAAAATATTCGATTGGAAATTGGTTTCTTGACTTTATTTGCAACAACCCTACAACGATTATAATTGTGTTAGGCACGAATAACATAAATTAGCACCAATCAATTAGGATACAACAACCCCAAAGATGTATCTATGGGATAAATAAGTAAAGGATGGAATATCGTTAGTTATGTCATTAAGTTTATTTTAATGTTAATTTAATTGATCAATTTATATTCTATACACTTGACCTACTTTATGATAAAGTATCTTAAAACCTTTGTACTTAGAACAAATTTTTATCCGATATCTTAAAGTAGTCTACTGGTAACTGATAATTATAATAACAGTTTAGTTTAATAATAGTTTATAATAAATAGAATTAAAAGAGTAATTAGAATTTGTCGAAAGTATCTAGAGACCTAAATCTCTTCGGAGCCCAAAGATATATCTTTATATACATATTTGGAGTATCCCCTGGTCGAGCTTTTCCATCTGGAATTCTGAACACGGTTGCCGGCATTGTGAACTGCGAGAGAGAGAGAGAGAAAGACCCATAGAGATAGACAGAGTGAGAGGTACAGAGCCTGATAATTCACAAATTTTCTCTTAGCCATTTATTGGGTTGGATTGAAACCCGTGTGGGGGAAAGAGACAGGTTGCCAGGGAGAGAAAGAGAAAGAGAGTGCAGCGACGTCGGCAGCGGTCTGACGTCTCGAATTGTTCGTTCGCATTCACAAGAATTTCACCGACATTGACTAAGCGAGAGGCCAAAACCGAGAGAGCCGGGCCATGGTCTCGTCGGGTGCAAAATCGTTCGGGGCCAGTCCACAATCGTTCGCACGGGTCTTTTGGGTTCTCTTAGGGAATTTGACTGTTTTGGAAAACGTTTTTGGAAAAACTTTTTCCAATAGTTCGGAAACCGATTGTTTAGTTTGAATAATAATCAAATCTAAAAACCATTGGTGACTAAACCCGAGTTTCCTGTCTTGGAAGTTGGGAATTCAATAGATTTACCTGTCACCTATTAAAACCCATTTTAGGACACCTTTCGAATACTCAATGAGGTTATCTCAAGGAACGCTGGAGATCAGCACTACCAAATCAGAAAGATACATTTCTCTTTTAAGAGAAAACACCCTTTCACTCACGCTCACTCTAGTGCCATATAACGGACTGGCGAAACCGACGAGACCACCACACACATATTCTACCATGGGCATTGGACTGACGTCTCGAGTCCCCACATTTAGTTTAGTACCGTTTTTGGCTGCAGTCGCACTTCGGACAGTTTATTCTAATTGTGTGCTACCATCCCATTTACAACCAAACATACAAATATTACTGCTAAAGTTAACGATATTAACCACACATATTAAAAGCTATTATACACGGGCCGAGCAAAGCCATTTTAAATGCGGTTTACTGCTCCGTACACACGAAACACATCAAAAATTCAATTAAATCAATTGAAATCGTAATCAAGTCCAAAACACAGCGAAAAGATAAATCAAATAAACTAATATTAAATGGTTAACAACGTTGAAATCTAAATATAATAACTATTTTCTATGAAAATCGAGTGTTTCCGAATCGGGAAAAAAGTTAATAATTCAATTAATGTTAACGCCAAATATAATCCGACAAGAAAAGCGCATGCAACAAGTTAAAACCAGCCGACAGTTGTAAACCAAGTTAGATCCGTACACAGATACACCCCAATACCAACACGAATGAGTGCCCGGTATACACATACAACCGCAAAAATCCACACACACACACCCAAGCAGCAGACTATAACAATGTCAAGTGAAAACATTCTCTGGAAGCAACAGGTTTCCCCTTAATAAGTGTTATAAAGAAGCAGCCAAACAGTCATCACCCAGAACTGTTCGTTTTGAAAAGCAAAAAAATAAAAAAAAAAGAGAAAGAGAGGTAGAAAAAGAGAGTACGAGGAATAAAGAAGATAAAGTATAAGGCGAGAGAAAGAGAGGAGCCACCTTTCAGTCAGTAAAAATCATATGAAAACATAGTATAAGCCAAAAAATATTAGAAGAAGACAGTTCTTAAGTGGGTTAAAATAGAAACAACAACACAAAAAATTAGTGTGACTGCAACCGAGTGGAACCGAATCAAATCAAAACCAAAACCATCCCCGATCCCAAACCGATTCGCACCGCGAGATCAACTAAAAGAGTTCTTAGAGCGCATCCGACAGAACCATGGAATTCTACGATGGCGACCTCAAAGATATATGGGACTCCGACTTAGATCCGGTAAGTGTTTAAATTACCACTCGAAAGCAAAAAAAAAAAAAAAAAAACGGCAAAAGGCAAACCTCTTTATATATCAGGCAGAACCATTGATACTTGAGAGCTTTTATTACAGCTGGTATGCTTGATATGAGTTGTGTGTGAAAGTTAAAGCCGACAACTTGAACGAAACGATAAGAAAATGTTCGAGATATAGGTAGCTCTATATGCTGACAACCTACAGCACACTGAAATAAATGTGAAAATGTCTTAACTTAGGTTAGACTGTTCGACTAAACTCCTTGAACTCTGATCTTTGACCAGAGACATCTTCAACACACGATTATTGAGTCATTGCGTTATACATTTAAAACCTGCAAGTGTCGTGCGGCTACAAAACGAAATTGCATTAAAAAACCTCAAGAAAAAAACATTTTAATGACCCACATTAAGCTTATCAGTTTGGGGAGAAAAACGTGAACATATTCATGAGCTGAATTCTAAGTATGATGATCGATTTAAAGGGAAAAAAGTAAAATTAAAAAGCAAATTAGTTGAGGGTCCCACGGGCTTTAGCTAGTTTTCTTTTCTTTCTCTGCATATTAAGTGGTTTGCATTTATATGTATGCGGTCACCTGAGAGAATGCCGATCACCAAACTGGCCTACGATCAAACCTGTCCCCCGAGCCACCTCATAAAAATGTCCGCTTACCGAACCCCCCAAAAAAAAAAAAAAAAAAATTATTGTAAAGTGGAAAAGAAACGAAAATCTAATCGAATTGCCCGGCTACCAGACATCAGACAATCGTAATATACAACACGCCCAGAATCACAGTTTCGGTTTAATAATCGCAGAGGACGTTCTTAGAGTGCCAAGCCCAAAAGTATTACCCAACAAAACTTTGCAAAATAGATATGATACGGCCCGAATCGAAAACACCAAATAATGGTGCCGAAAAGAAAAGGCAGCGCTCAAGGTTTTTTTATCTTGGCCCGTAACGTTCCCGTTTTAGTGAGAGAGCAGACAATTTTTTAGTGATTTTTTGTGTTCGAATATATCAATTTACATGGTTTTTTTGATAAGACGACTATATCTTTGCAGCCAGGAAACATTTCTGTTCGTAACTTAGAAGTTTCGCTGTCCTACAAAGTTGTTTTGTGTTAAGCGATAATGATAATTGGAGTTTTCCAAGAAATAAAAAGAAATTTATCATTAGCAAACGATTTCTGTTTTACGAACTCGTAGTTTCTTTCTTTCCATCGCCCCCGCAACTCAAAGTACTCATAGAACTTATAGAGCAGGCGTGAAATGTTTCAATATAATGAAATGAAATGAGTGAGTGCCGGCTGAGCTTCGTTTGCGGAGTAGAGTACTCACTACAGAGTGTAGATGCCTTCGTCTACTGCTTATCGCTGCGGAAACAGTAAATGAATACATGTCGTCCGTCCGTCCGCCCATCCATCCTCAGTCCGTCCGTCCGTTTCACTTGTTCTTGCTGTTGTACACCGGAAAAAAGGAGAGGAAGTAGGAGATATACGTATGTGATTATAATATAAAGAGATTATCATGAGTCATGATTATTTAAATAGGTGGAGAGTTTAATGTGTTATAAATCTTACCATATGTAATACGAGCTGATAACCCATCATTAGCTAAATTTGTATTTTGACTATTTCTTATAATCTGATAACTTTGTTTTTGAACTCCTGCTTAAATATAATTTGTTAAATTATCATTTGGTTCAATCCCACTTCTATCCCAATATGAAATGTTGATCTTTAATATATTCTGTAGACTTCTACCGCATCTCTCACTCTTTAAACTTAATTTAAATCCGTATGACATATGTATATTTATTTGGCAACCAAAAATTTTACTTACTGTGTAGAGGAGGCTCTGCTGGTGTAGCACAAAAGAAAAGAATCTATTACGGCACGGGAGAAGGACACATGCGGAGTTGATAAGCGCTCGCTATCAGCTGGTCTAAATGCAAAGTAATGACTTTTTTCGCCTGTTGCTACTGCCGCTGCTGCTGCTGCTGCTGTTGTTGTTGCTGCTGCTGTTGTTGCTGCTGCTGCTGCTGCTGCTGCACTTTGCAGCAAGTCAAATAGAGTAGAGTATGGCTCGTCAGTGTCATTACTATTAGGAGATAATAGTGCACGGCGAGTACCTACTACTTGACTTGTAGACAATGTTGTCTACGGAGGGACAGAAATAGGCCCAATGCCCGGGAAAATGCGCGTGCAGTTTTTATTGGTTTTTGTTGTTGTTGTTTATTTATTTTTTCTATGTGTGTTGCGTTTTTTCCCGCCGTAAGCGGTACAATGTACCCGTACCCGGGGCGTGCGCTCAATTACCTCATAAGTATCTCAAATGCCTGTGTGTGCCCATAACAAGAAATTATCGGTTTCTGTGGGAAGGCGCCGTGCAAATACCCTCCAACGCCTTCTCTTCGAAATAAGATCAAGATCAGGTCAAGATATCATTCAGGGCTAGATAATAAAATTCCTTGAAATCTCAACCTTTTTTCTTTTGTTTAGCCCAATCCTATCAGCTATTTTGGCATTATTATTTTAATAATATAAACTATCATTCTAAAGTCTCTTGAGGCGAATCAACAATCTTATCGCAAAGTATTTTGTAACAGAAAAAAATAAAGCAAAAAAAAAACGAAACTGGTGCCAAGATAAGGGTTGAAATGCCCAATTTTGATTAGCAGCGCAGCGTACCATTTTCCACTTAAACGGATGAAAAAAAATAAATAAATAATAATTATGATGCCATGGGATTTTTTTTTCGAAGTTAACCAAAACAAAAAGCCAAAAATAATGACTTGACGTTTCGATAATCAATTTTAATAGATCGGAAAGGCGCCATAATAGGCGTACGAATTTGGAAAGTCCCGAAAGGGGTTAGCTGGTCTTCAGAGAGTTCAGATAATGTCACGTGCCCTCGATTGCCGAGATTCCGATCATCGTTATCAAGAAATTCCCCTACCTTTTCATTCAGAGATCTTCAAGTGGTTCCCCCTTCTATCAGTCGAAAGCAATGAAGAGTTGACACAGCAGAATCATTAAAGCTCTATAAATACATACATATAGATTCGCGATCGGGGGAATTCTGTGAAAATCGAATGCAGGGAAAACCCAATAATAATAACAACACTGATCAGTGATCGACAGGTCATCCGTCTTACTAAGAATAACAATTCCCAGAGTTTAAGATGCAAATAAACACAGTTTCCAGTGCAAATAATAATAATACATATTTAAGATTCAGCTTAACGACTTTCGATTCTGGACCAGCCTTGATAAGAAAATACATACTAAAATTATTTCTGTTGGAGAGCTGGAAACACATTTAAAATTTTCACATTCGGTTGATAAGAAAGCACATGGAAACAAAAATGCCCAATTAGGCGGATTTAAAGCTCAGCTTATCTTCAATATAGCTAAAATATTTATAATACATATATATACACAAATATTTATATTACATTACTACAATGAAGGGGTTGTTGATAGAAAGAAAGGGAAATCTAGGCAAGCCAAAGCCCAGCTTTCAACAAAATGTCTTCAAGATCGTCGCCAATTTTGCCTCGAAAAAGAAACTCTGTTGACGATAATGCGACCAGTTCAAACTTACTGGTAACAATAAACTGCCGGAAAAGACTACCTTGGGCAGAAAAGCAAAAAAAAAATAATAATAGCTGCATTCGCCTTCACCGAAGAATGCTGACCAAAGTCAAAACCTGGCGACTTTCCTAAACGTACTTTTGGCCAAAAGCGAAGAGAGAGGTTGAGAGTTGAAAATTGCAGCATTAACAAGAAGCTAAGAAGTCAGCAAGTTTTCTTTTCACTTCCATTGGGATACCAGCAGACAAAAGAAATATGTTTTAAATATATATAGAATATTTTTTTTTTGACATTTCAAGAGCTGTTCTTTTTGCGGGCTAACTTTCGCTTATATAAGCAGAATAGGCCAAAGGGGGCGTGCATAATGGCATTAGCAATTTCTTTGCGGCCAATTCGATACCCCTTTCTGGTCTAAACAGCCTGTTGCCCGTTTTGAATGCAAATGTGCACTGCGTTGAGGTTAGATTGAGATTTTCTAACGGCCAAATGCAATGCCCGCTATTTAAAATGCACACGAGAATATATAATATTACCAACAAGAAACGGAAAACCGAAACCGAAACAGAAAAACGTGCTTGGCAACAGACTTGGTGGAGAGCTCTAAAGTCTCGACTCTCGAGAGCATATTTGAATAACTAGTTCGAGCCCAATGCTCAGATACTTTCAATATGGTCTATCACAGTCTGTATATCTACAGATACACTTAAGTTGGATATATCCGTATATCCGTGTGTGTGCGTTCGCTGGAGTATTGCTTAACTTTGACATTTCCAATAAGCCGGAGCGTTGCAATCTGCAAAACAGGTTAAAGCACAAAGCGAATGCAAAGACACCCAGCGACTATTGCAAATTTAGCTCGCTCCAGCGACACAATTTCTATGCCAAAAGTCCAAACATATGGCGAGGCAGCAAAAAAGCAAAAAGCAAAAAAAAAAAAAAAAGAAGGCAAAAAAGCGCGCATAATTAAATTTGTGCCCCCACAACGTATTGGTTTACATGTGCGCCAGTCTCGCTGGCTCCTCTCTCTCTCCGAATACATATAGATATATATACGTATATATTCCCATTCATGTCGGCCATTCATGCGGATTTACACGCGCTGCGCGTTTCAGGATGCGCAATGCTAGAGTGTCCACGCGGAAAAGTCCACTCTTAGTTTGCTCTTTTTGCCCCGATTCAAAGGCTCTCTCTCTCCGTCTCTCTCTCTTTCTCTCTCTTGGCCAAAAAGAGTGGGCGGTGGTGGGCTAACTTGGCCAGCTGTTTGCGTTTTGTTTTTGACGTCAATGTCAGGACGTCGGAGGAGTTGTGTGTGTTGTGGCCAAAGCCCGGGAGTGTGAATTATTCATGGATCCGTTCGGAATTTACAATATGTTACAGCCTCCTTCTCT